TAACAAGCTCCAGTGAGGTCTCCGGTTCATGTGGCTGTTCAGTTCCCGAACCATATAGTCCAAATATACGAACTGAGAATTTTATATTACATTTTACAGGGATCATAGTCTGTGGGCAGGAGGCTGGCAAGCAGGCTCCTCCAGGAGCTCGTGGCAAACTCACTTGGACAGGGGAGTTATTCACAATGCTTCTCAAAAAATTAGGAGCAGCTAGAGGTAAAAACATCTTGTGTTAAACATAAGAGGCATAACACCCACCATGTCGGGGTTATAATAATTGAATAAGGTAAGTGCCTGGTGTGTGGGGTGGGGCGAGCTACATTGGAGAATAAAACCCCATGTGCCAGCAAGCATAGGTTGGGCTGATTATAAAACTGTGCTCCTAAGAACACTCAATATGTATAGAGAAATTATTAGAGATCAAATGAAACAATAAGAAATGAAAACAAAAACATGACAGTATACTGTTAAGCGACATGTGATCAGTTCATGGCATCGCAGTAGATGAGGGGTCTCCTCATTGAGCAACTGGCACGAGCGGGTGAGTCCTCTTGGGGTCCCATGTGGACGGTCTAGCAGAGTGTGTTGGAATTGGCGGATCAGCAAGGCTAACAAGTAGCCTAAGTTTCTGCAGGGTGGATGCCACCTCTGAGGCCTAACTGACTTTAAAAGTCACAGAGTCCCGAGTTATCAGCAGACATCATGGTGTACCCCATTTGTATGGTACCTTGTAAGTGGCAAGTTCATTGGTCAAGGGTCGCAAAGACCTGCACCAGTCCATAGTAGCTCTGGAAAAACCTGCAGGTCAGGGAATGATCTTCAAAGCGACATGGAGAGTTTTTGCTTACCGCTGCCATAAAAGCCAATCTATCTTGACCTTGTTGGAATCGAACTATGACATCCCTACTTGCCCAAAGGTTACCAGTCGCTGCCAGGAGTCCGGTACCATCCATCCATAAGCATAGTTTTGGTCTGTTTGGCAGAGAATAGGTAGGTAAGTAATCTCCGAAAGAGGTAAGGAAACGTATACGAAACGCGTTGATCGAATCCAAACAGACTAACACTTTACAAGGACTCTGCTGAACTGAAATGCTGGTGAATTAAATACACTGAACGAACTGCACCTTTCCAGCTTATTGCTACTACTGCATAAAATCCTGGGGACAATATATTTTTTTGGCAAGTGGCCCTCTGGTGGGTAATGCGTATATAGCACATATATTTTTGTACATATATCCATGTGAGTTTACATTTGGTTGTTTTAAATTTTTGTTATTTTAAATACTATACTATGATATTTCTTTTTCTCTATGTTTTTCTTGTTATATGATCAACTTTATATATACTAATTCTGAGAGTATCCTGACCAGATTTTAATGCAGTTTTAGGTATTACTGATATTTTACATTGTAGTTTGCAAATAATTGGGAATTTGCACAGTGCACTATTTTGTGCCAAAGACGATATCTTGGTTAATTTCCCATTTGTTTTGGAACTATAGGAGGTTGTTCTCTCTTTGTGGCTACACGTTTGAACTTTATCACTTTACTGATATTTTGCATGTCTTCCATGACAGCCATAAGTTCCTGAATCTGGGCTTAAGAGCACTGCACAGCTTCTGTTCCAAGCTAGAGATGAGGTATAAAATTCCAGGTTGTGAAAGCGCACGGAAACCCAGCTGATCTCCTCTCTAAATTGGCCTATGTCGGCTGCTATGTTTCGGAGGAGATCATCCAAAAGGTTCCTAAGCGTTTCCTCCATCACTGGTGGGTTCCTGGCAGACTTGGGAGGCATGTGAGAACACCTCCCCTCCGTCTGTTTCTCAATGTCGCTCTCATCTGCAAGGGAAGTCTCAATGGATACCCACAAACACCCATCAAAAGGCGACGCCATGGCAGGCCTCTGAGAGTTTGACTGCCTCCAAAGCAGATTTCTAACATAGGCGGTAAACGGTGGTTTATCTGCCTTATTTTTCTTACTTTTGTGTCCCATAGTGTGAGAAAGGGATCAGTAAAAGCGGGATACACAGAGGTCAGTCAATTATACAATTTAAATTAATAATTCTCTTGTTTGCATGGAGCTCTGCAGAACTGCATCCTATCAGTATGGCTGCTGGCTCTGCCCGTCCCCCCTACCCCATTATGTTTTAATATATCATTGAGTAAACTTTGACCCTGTACCTCACAGTCGGCAGACACATTCCAGCCAATTAGCAGCAGACCCTCCCTCCCAGACCCTCCCACCTCCTGGACTAGCAGAGCGTTTTTTGGAGGGGAGACTGTGAGGCACCCAAACAGAGGCGTAACTAAAAACCACCAGGCCCCATTGCGAAAATTGTCCCTGGCGCCCCACCATGTGTCTCATCACCCCTGCCACTCCACATGTCTTGTTCTCCCCCTAGCCCCTCAACATGTCTCATTTCCCCCCTCAGCCCCTCCATGTGTCTCTCCAACCCTTCAACTCCCAGTCCTTCCATGTGTCTCTCCCACCTCCCCATGTGTCTTTGCCACCCCATAACTCCTCCATGTGTCTCACCCCCCCAGCCCTTCCATGTGTCTCTCCCACCCATGTTTGTGACAGACACACACACTGAAAGACATACACATAGACAGATACACACTCACTGATAGACATATACTGACAGACAGACACACACACATACACACACTGACAGAAACACACACACTGACAGACACACATACACACACACACACACACACACACTGACAGACACACACTCACTGACAGACACACACTAACCGAGACACAAACTGACAGACAGACACAGATACACACACTGACAGACACACACTAACAGCCACACATACACTGACAGACACACACACACACACACACACACACAAACTGACAGACACCACACTCACTGACAGACACATACTAACTGGCAGACATACACACATACTGATAGACACACACACACATTGACAGACACACACACACACACACACACTGACAGACACACACACACTAACAGCCACACATACGCTGACAGACATATGCACACACACACACAAACACACACACACTGAATGACAGACACATACACTCACTGACAGACATACACTCACTCACCGACAGACACACACACTAACAGCCACACCTACACTGACAGAAACACACACACGCACACACAAACTGACAGACACCACACTCACTGACAGACACATACTGACAGACACACATACATACTGATAGACACACACACACACACAAACTGACAGACACACACTGACATACAGACATAGAGACACACTAACAGACACACACACTGACAGACAAAGACCCACACACGCACACTAACAGCCACACAAACACTGACAGACACACGCGCACACACACACACACACACACACACACACACACTGACAGATACACACATACTCACACATTCTTGCACACTCTCACAAATTAATTTTACTTTTTTGAGGCCCATCCAGCCTCCCTACCTTTGGGAGAGCTGGTCTGGGTCCTCTCCATTGGGCTGTGCTGTGACAGTTTCTTTCTCCTCCTGCGTGCTGTCACGCGAGGGAGGAGAAAGGAACTATCACATCAGTGCTCCCTCGCTTCCGCCGAATGCTGCCTGACTTCTGTCCTCCCCTCAGTATATATCAGCAGAGTAGGCACCTGCCATCATGGTAAGCAGGTGTCTACTCTGCCTCACTGTCCATGTGGTGATTCGGGGGTTCCCTAGGTGGGCTCCCTGTCACTGTTCTTCTCTTGGCGGGCCATGGTTGCAGGGGACAGCAGGGCGTCCGGTTCGCGTCTGCGACCGTGGTAGCTCCGCCACTGCATCCAAAGATACCCTGGACTTGGTGGAGCTACAAGGATACACCGAAAGCACTGTTGTTTTAGGTGACATGGACTTTCTACCCAGCACCATTGAGCCCTATGCCGGATCGAATGCTAGCTGTGACCTGCTGAAACTTTGACTTCCATCTAAATTCGGCTAGCCATATCCGATCAGGGCGCTTTTTGGACAAAGTGGGCGCTCTGACACCAGCTTCCTGGGGACACCGGCTGTGTGGAGATGTGGGCACAGGATCCCTAGTTAATATTTGTTTTGTTACCCCGGTGCGAAGGTGTCTGGCCGCTAATTAAATTACCTGCTCAGGTACAGACACCAAGGCGCCAGGGATGTCACAATTCTTTGTTCTCCCAGGGGACCTTCTGCTGAGATCCCTGGTTTAAAAGTGTTACCTCTTGTGACAATAACCCAGTTCTACTTCACCCTGCTACCCAGCTATAAACACTGAATATACTCCGGGAGCTATGAACATTAAGGGATAGGGAATCCTTGGCGGCAACATTCTGGTGTAATTATATTAGACAGACTATATGATTGCAAAATTATATTATATAGTTTATGCAGTATTAAATTGTTATATGATTGCAGTATTATTATATGATTGTGTTATATTATATAATATTAAATTATGATTGCAGTATTATACTATATAGTATTATAATATAATTGCAGTATTATATTATATTAGTCATTAAAAAACCCACTTCTTCATAAAAGCGTATCAGTTAAACTGTTAATAGCTCCTGACTGATTCCTCTTCTGCAACTGTCATTAGTCTAATACTATCCTTACCTTTTTGTGTCATTTTACCCCACTCCCTCTAGCATGTAAGATCATTGAGCAGGGCCCTCAATCCCTCTGTTCCTGTGTGTTCAACTTGTCTGGTTACAACTACATGTCTGTTCGTCCACCCATTGTAAAGCGCTGCGGAATTTGTTGGCGCTATGTAAATATCATAATAATAATAATAATAATATTATGATTTCAGTATTATATTATATAATATATTATTATATATTATGATTTCAGTATTATATTATATATTATTATATATTATGATTTCAGTATTATATTATATATTATTATAAGAGAGTTATGTTATAAGGAGGGGGCGTGCCCCTGTCTCCTAGCCCCGCCCACCCCATGTCACTCCAAAGTCCACGTGGTGCCGGATCAGCTGACAGCTCACACGGCGTGTTCTCGTGACGTCAGGCCAGGCCCCGCCCCCATAGTCACGTGACAGTGGCGGGTGGAGTCGCTGCTCGGTGCCGAGAGTCCAGTCCGGTGCGGATGAACATGGTGAGTGCAGAACCCGGAACCACGAGAGGAGCCTCGGCCGCCGGGGGGGAGCCTAGCCCGCGCCTGCAGGCAGGGGGCGGCGGGCCTGCACCAGGAGAGGCCGGGGATGTGTCAAGGCCTAGTGTGGGGGCCTGAGCTGGTAACACAGTGCATGGCAGCTCACCATGGGCAGGGCACCACAACCACTGCCATCAATGGAGGGACCTGAGCTGGTAACACAGTGCATGGCAGCTCACCATGGGCAGGGCACCACAACCACTGCCATCAATGGGGGGCCTGAGCTGGTAACACAGTGCAGGGCAGCTCACCATGGGCAGGGCACCACAACCACTGCCATCAATGGGGGGCTGAGCTGGTAACACAGTGCATGGCAGCTCACCATGGGCAGGGCACCACAACCACTGCCATCAATGGGGGGGCCTGAGCTGGTAACACAGTGCATGGCAGCTCACCATGGGCAGGGCACCACAACCACTGCCATCAATGGGGGGCCTGAGCTGGTAACACAGTGCATGGCACCACAACCACTGCCATCAATGGGGGACCTGAGCTGGTAACACAGTGCATGGCAGCTCACCCTTGGCCAGGGCACCACAACCACTGCTATCAGTGGGGGGGCCTGAGCTGGTAACACAGTGCATGGCAGCTCACCATGGGCAGGGCACCACAACCACTGCTATCAGTGGGGGGGCCTGAGCTGGTAACACAGTGCATGGCAGCTCACCATGGGCAGGGCACCACAACCACTGCCATCAATGGGGGGCCTGAGCTGGTAGTGCAGGCAGCACACATGGGCAGGGCACCACAACCACTGCCATCAATGGGGGGGCCTGAGCTGGTAACACAGTGCATGGCAGCTCACCATGGGCAGGGCACCACAACCACTGCCATCAATGGGGGCCTGAGCTGGTAACACAGTGCATGGCAGCTCACCATGGGCAGGGCACCACAACCACTGCCATCAATGGGGGGCCTGAGCTGGTAACACAGTGCAGGGCACCACAACCACTGCCATCAATGGGGGGCCTGAGCTGGTAACACAGTGCATGGCAGCTCACCATGGGCAGGGCACCACAACCACTGCCATCAATGGGGGGCCTGAGCTGGTAACACAGTGCATGGCAGCTCACCATGGGCAGGGCACCACAACCACTGCTATCAGTGGGGGGACCTGAGCTGGTAACACAGTGCATGGCAGCTCACCATGGGCAGGGCACCACAACCACTGCCATCAATGGGGGGGCTGAGCTGGTAACACAGTGCATGGCAGCTCACCATGGGCAGGGCACCACAACCACTGCCATCAATGGGGGACCTGAGCTGGTAACACAGTGCATGGCAGCTCACCATGGGCAGGGCACCACAACCACTGCCATCAATGGGGGGCCTGAGCTGGTAACACAGTGCAGGGCAGCACACCATGGGCAGGGCACCACAACCACTGCCATCAATGGGGGGGCCTGAGCTGGTAACACAGTGCATGGCAGCTCACCATGGGCAGGGCACCACAACCACTGCCATCAATGGGGGGGCCTGAGCTGGTAACACAGTGCATGGCAGCTCACCATGGGCAGGGCACCACAACCACTGCCATCAATGGGGGGCCTGAGCTGGTAACACAGTGCAGGGCAGCTCACCATGGGCAGGGCACCACAACCACTGCCATCAATGGGGGGCCTAAACTGGTAACACAGTGCAGGGCAGCTCACCATGGGCAGGGCACCACAACCACTGCCATCAATGGGGGGCTGAGCTGGTAACACAGTGCATGGCAGCTCACCATGGGCAGGGCACCACAACCACTGCCATCAATGGGGGGGCCTGAGCTGGTAACACAGTGCATGGCAGCTCACCATGGGCAGGGCACCACAACCACTGCCATCAATGGGGGGCCTGAGCTGGTAACACAGTGCAGGGCAGCACACCATGGGCAGGGCACCACAACCACTGCCATCAATGGGGGGGCCTGAACACAGTGCATGGCAGCTCACCATGGGCAGGGCACCACAACCACTGCCATCAATGGGGGGGCTGAGCTGGTAACACAGTGCATGGCAGCTCACCATGGGCAGGGCACCACAACCACTGCCATCAATGGGGGGCCTGAGCTGGTAACACAGTGCATGGCAGCTCACCATGGGCAGGGCACCACAACCACTGCCATCAATGGGGGGCTGAGCTGGTAACACAGTGCATGGCAGCTCACCATGGGCAGGGCACCACAACCACTGCCATCAATGGAGGGACCTGAGCTGGTAACACAGTGCATGGCAGCTCACCATGGGCAGGGCAACACAACCACTGCCATCAACGGGGGGGCCTGAGCTGGTAACACAGTGCATGGCAGCTCACCATGGGCAGGGCACCACAACCACAGCTCATCCAAGTGCTAAAAGCCAACCTTGAGCAGGCCTAGTGTTCACTGGAAACACATCTGCTCTAGTATGCAATCATATAACTAGTTTCAACTAGCTATTAAGTTACAACTAATTGTGGAAAATAAGATTTCGTTTTGTACACTGCCAATGCCAATCACCTAACTGGTTTCTGACACCACTGCTCATTTAAAGTCTCCTTCTATTCTAATAATTTTGAGACCCAGAGTTGGATATTTGGCAGTGTTCTAATATTAGAATGTTACCTCTGTAGCAATTTAATGTGATATTTGTTTCAGATTTATTGACGCCTACTGTGAAACACATTTCTTTTATCTTGGGAGCATTCTCAAAACAACATAATATTCAATATTGTATAATGCATAGGTATGTACTAAACACTTTACGAATTATCAGTGCATTTTTATGGTTTGTCACCAACAAGCTATAAGCACGGGTATTCTAGGAATTATCTATCTAGATGTAATTCCTAGTTATTCCTGTTGAGCGCATATGTTCCGTCAGTGGCAGTTTGTCAGCAGAACAGAGATCAAAGTTAAAGAATATTTATTTAATCCCTTGAAATGGTAAATACTTGGATTACTGTACTTCATGTCAGTGCGTGCACATACTAGCATGCTAGTGAATGCACCATTATAATAAAGAGAAACTTGGAAGTATATTTAATACCCTTTTTGTTTTACTTAATTACAGGGGTTAGCAATATACCACTTTCTGTAGCAAGCTTTGATGAGATGTCTCAACTAATCCTAGTAATTTGATAGAACTCGCTCGTGGCAATTATTTATGGGATTTCTTTAGCATATTGTGTTTGTATATAGCAATCTCTCCATTATTTAAAAACAAAAAACACTTCATACATACAATGCTGCCACTGATGACCACTCACTTGCTCAAGCCCTTTTAATCTTTATTTTCTGAAAGCATATTAACTTGGCTATACAGGAGTTTATGAATAAGACATGCACATCTTAGTGCTTCTTCCCCTCTTCTGCCCCCTTGATACCTTCAAGATGACTGAAGTTCCACCCTCCTTGGGGGGAAAAAAAGTATTTCTTCAAATATTTAATCTACTTTCTGTTATTCTTTGAAAGGAGTAGAATTAGTTGCAGTTTGAAGGGACGATAAAGACTAAAAGTGACACCAAATGTCTTATACATTATATAAATAATGCAAAGAAAATAAGTAATCTTTAAATTTCATGCAGTTGCTGCTAATTCCCCAGGCAAGATCCAGTAACCGTGAGATCTAACTGGATCAGGAAATGGCTCCACCAATTAGGAACCTATGTTAATGGTCAGTGGATTATGACAGTTTTGAGTCCTTTTCCAGATCATGGCACAAGCTAGTGACCATGCCATACACTTTTGAGTTTGATGTTTGCAAGGGAGTTTGACACGCAAGGTTGTTATATTAGAGACTATAAACATATTTTGTTTTGGAGAAATTGATCTTCAGGAAGCAAACAGGAAAGTAGTTAAATGATCCAAGGTGGAAAGAAAGGGACCTGGTGACATATGTCTTGGCATTGTAGTTGATATTGAAATCCAAAGGAATTTGTTGATTGCCAAGAATTGCATTTATCCAGAACTAAATGTTTATTTAAACTTGAGTTAGCAGAGAAACTTTTTTTTATTGAAGGTTTACAACGCATTATAAACCTTCAACAATGTAGAAATATAGATATCACACCACATATAGATTACAAAGTCTCCACAAGGTATTGCAAGTAAAGGTATATACAAAGTAACCGTTGGGGGACATAGGAAATTCATTTATAAGCTGATATATGGAAATATGTGTTTTGTTCCTTAAAGGACCACTCTAGGCACCCAGACCACTTCAGCTTAATGAGGTGGTCTGGGTGCCTGGTCCAGCTAGGTTTAACCCAGAGAAACTGCTGTTTATGAATGGGTTAAGCCTTCCCCTATTTCCTCTAGCGGCTGTCTCATTGACAGCCGCTAGAGGCGCTTACGTGCTTCTCACTGTGATTTTCACAGTGAGAGCACGCAAGCGTCCATAGGAAAGCATTATGAATGCTTTCCTATGAGACTGGCTGCGCGCGCAGCTCTTTCCGCGCGTGCGCATTCAGCCGACGGGGAGGAGTAGAGGAGGATCGGAGGAGGAGAGCTCTCCGCCCAGCGCTGGAAAAAGGTAAGTTTTTACCCCTTTCCAGAGCCGGGCAGGAGGGGGACCCTGAGGGTGGGGGCACCCTCAGGGCACTATAGTGCCAGGAAAACAAGTATGATCTATTGTTGCATAGCTACAATATCTCCCTAAGCCACTGAGAGTAGGCCTTTTCAAATTTGGGGAGGGAACCTGAAATTTGGAGTGCCATTTGTTAGTAAAACCTGCAATTTGCCAATCTGTCCAGTACTCCTAAGTCCCCCACCTGCTAACTGCAGTAGTGAATCTGGCTAATGGTCATTGAGAACAAACATCCATGGATTTCTCATTGTTGGTAGTGTAAAAGAAACATATCTTTTGTGGGTATTATGATGGCATGTAACTTGTGTGAGTAAATAACTTTCAGAAGTAAAGTCCACAATACATACACATAAACATGGAAAGTAAGAACCACGTTTTGTACAGTAGAACAATGGAGAGTGTTGATTAGTTGGCAACATTCTCTAGTTATTACAATAATTAATATACAGTCTACCCTGTTATTTTAATAAGGTAATTACGTGTATGTATACTGGAAATTTACAATAACACACGGAAGAGATTGAATAATAAAAACACCTGTATATTAAAAATAATCTTTTTTTTATTTTTTTATTTTTTTTCATCATGAAGTTTTTGGGATGCAGATGGAAAATTTAGAATACAGGAGAGAGACAAATACAATAGGGTTTTCATAAATCTATAAACGACGGGTCAGAATGAAGATGTGTATTATCAAATAAGAATAATCTGAACAATCTCAAAAAAGGAAACAGAAGGGTGTTATGGAACGATGAAAACCTGTCTGGATCAGGTTCTTAGCATGTTGTTCTCCACAAAAGTCTGTCTGATGACCTTTTTGAAAACATTGATTTTAATCTTTTTTTTAAAAAAATGGTTGCTTCTCAGGAAAGATGATCTCCAACTATTGGCTAATATTGAGTCCCTAACATTGCAACGGTGATACAGTGGTGCTCTGGTGTCCCCACCATAAATAGTCAAACAATTGGCTCTCCTGACCTAAGCTCTGAAGTGGTGGGGTCTGGGAGGTCAGACATCAAACACTTCTAAAGCCTCTGTAGCACTGCAATGGTTATGGTGCTTGGAGTATTCGCTCAACTTTATGGACTGATGAGCCTAGGGCTTAGGAGTTTCGGAGCCCATTATCTCTGTAACAGAGCGCAGTTAAGGCTTGTGTAGCAAACTTTTATGAATAGTAAGATGTTATATGAATTAGCCATCTGGTAGGCCATTGTTCTAAAATCTTTAGTAGAGGCAACTTTTCAAATAGATGGTCCTTCGGTCATTGCCATCAGCATGTGTACTCTGCACTATGCAACTGTTTGTTGGTATTGAAAGTTGTTAAAGGGACACTATAGGCACCAAAGCAACCAGCTTAATGAAGCAGTTTTGATGTAAAGATCATGTCCAATCAGTGTCATTGCTCAATTCACTGTCATTTAGGAGTTAAATCACTCTGTTTATATAGCTCTAGTCACACCTTGCTGCATGTGACTTGCACAGCCTTTCTAAACATTTCCTGACTAGTAAATATAAATAAATATTCTAGATTCCTTTATTGCACCGTCTGTTTAATTTAGAATTTTGTATCTCTTGCTTTGTTAATGGTAGTCTGGAGTAGCCTCCTGTGTGTAATAAAAGTTCCATTAACAGAGCAGGAGATAAAGACTTCTAAAGTAAGTTATTGATGATCTCAGCCATGGAGTCGGCACGTGGTAAGTAAAATATTCTAGGATGGGGACGGCCACTGGAGGCATCGTAACGAACCTTTGTTTTGGTATCTGACCCTGGACATCCTCAAGCTCTGCATGAGGACATCCAGTGTCAAATTTGTTCCTCATATTCAATGATTCAATGCTTTCCTATGGGGAGGTCTAAAGCGTGCGTGCACGGCATTTGCGCCTGTTCGGCGCAGTGAAGCATTGACCCATCTCTGAGGAACATCAGCGCTAGTATAATGTAAGTAAAGGGTTTCGCTGGAGTGGTGGGAGGCAGACAGCTTTGTATTCCTGGCACTATAGTATCCATTTAAGCTGTAGTTCTGGGACTGTGCACCTTTTAATTTCTGTACACAATAATGCCAAGAGCTTGGGGTGCTTAGACCCACCCTTTATGAATGCTTTTGATTGCTGATTTTTTTTTTTTTTTTTTGTGCTCTCTTGTCCCATAGGTCTATATAATTTAACCTTTGACTAAGGAAGACTTTTTTTTCTTCAACCATATAGTGCATGGGTCGTCAAACTCCGGCCCCCCAGATGTTGCTGAACTACAACTCTCCTGATTCTTTGAATTACATAGATAGCCAGAGAATGTGCTTGGTGGGGGGGAGGGAGGGGTGCTGTGTGTGTGTGTGTGTGTGTATGCATATTTGGTGTAAAATGTATTTGTAACATTTTTATCTCTTTAGCAACAATTTTCTTTACTTTTTTTTTTTTTTTGGCGGAACAGAGTGAAATAGATCTACAGTAAAATTCATGAATGGTGTTTGAAATGCGAAGCCCTTGATAATTTTGGATTGTATTATGAACTGACCCTCTCTTGTAGTTTAGCAAAGGATGATGGGAATATGGGAATTAAATATTTTTGTATCATAACCTTGACAGAACAAACCTAAATTCTTGGCACAGTTTTGGATATGAGTAAAAATTGATTTTGCAATCTTATTTGAAAACCATGCGGTAAAGATTGCATGTCTCTGGCACATGACATTGGGTTGAGATGTCACATGTATCGGTTTAGAGAAATACCATTTCAGCAGTCAGTGGGTGTTTTCATGCACACTTTTTAACCATTGCTTACTTTGTTACCAGAAAGTTTTTGCAAGTAAATTAGGGGAACTGTCAGTTCTGACTTTACTGTAATCTCCCCTCAAAATTATATTTTGGTGCAGAGCCTGGAGAGTCGAGTGTTTGAGTGTAAATTCAGGAGTGTGTTTATGCTGGTCACTAATGCAAGGCAGTATTTGCATGGCATGTCTGTGTGAATGTAGGAGGATTTGTGTATACATGTCAGTGTATGAATACAGGACAATAGTAGTGTGAATCTTTGAACACAGGAGTATAATTTGCCCCTTGTATTCAGCACAGTGAGAAAGCATCCATTCACTCAACCTATGTGTGCCCTTACTCTATAATTAAGAACATTTGCCTGTATAATGTGTATTGTACTAGAGAAATTGCTCTTTTGCCTTGAATCCAAGTCTGCATAGTAATTTTCCCATGCATTCTGGACATTTTTTTTAATTTTTTTTTTCCCATTCGTTTGAGAAACCAATAATGCCAATTCATCGTGTAAATTTGCCCATATACTGAGAATCTACCCGACCAGTCTTAAAAGCTGACCGTGACCTTGCTGAACATTCGCAAAGTGGTGTCTTATTATAGGGAGATGGGGAACCTGCAGGTTTTCATAGACCTTTTGCAATAGATCCTTGGTTGATATTATTATCCCGTCCTATTGAGGGATTTCCGTCCCATCTGCAAAGACTATATAACAAAATTGCTTTAGCAGCAGGCAGATCTCTTGTGGCCAGGTGGCTATATTATAGGACTCCTTCAATCGGGAGGTGGTTAAGATCTGACCTTTATATAATGGATAAACTCAAAGGCCTGGTTCAAAACCTACTCACATCCTTCAGTAAGACATGGTATCTGTGGCTGGAGTACATCACAATTTGGGTACAGTTTCCTTTCCTTAGCGGGTAACTTCTTTCTTTCTCTCTTTCTCTTCCTTTTATCTTCCTCTGTTGTCTTTAATTTCTGTCTTGGTTTTTGCATTTGATTTTTTTATTGAAGTATTAAATACTGCATTAGGGTCACATGGATCATTTGATACCTCATTGTTCCCGTCCATACTTAAATAAAGAGCTTAAAATAAATAAATGACCAACTGCCCCAAAGTTACCGGTCTATTATATTATTTCAGAATAATCTAGTCCAGGCACAGGCAACCGTCGGCACTCCAGATGTTTTGGACTACAACTCCCATGATGCTTTGCCAGCATTATGGGGGATGTAGTCCACAGCATCTGGAATGCTGAAGGTTGCCTATCCCTGCTCTAGTGTAATCACAATTTCAATTTATTCACCTATGTAAAATGCCTCCTGCCCAGAGGGTTCCATAGCATCTTAACTCTGTATATTTTCCAATCTGGGAGTGTATTAACTCTGAGATTTCCTTACACCATTGTATAATTCTTTCTCAAACTCTCCCCTGGTGTGATTTGAGAATTATGTTATTACATGCAGCTTTGTCAGCTCTTGCTTCTGGGAGCTGACATTACAGCTGTACTCTCGAGCATGAGCGAGAGTACAGCATTGTGGTCTATGGATGATCCCACAAGACCGCAGGATTCTCCATAGACAGAGCCAATTCACTGCAGTCATCACTGGTGACGTCTGTAGGATTGACACTACTAAACAGCGGTAGCTCAGCATAGTTTTTAAAAGTATCAGGCGTAGGAAATATACAGACGCAGTCTTTTGTCTCTGTATATCTCCTGACTGCGTTGCAATTTCAGTGAAATCCCAGCACAGTCAAAATGAGTACTTAATGATGATTCTGTCTTTGTGACAGTGCCGCTTTAATACTACACTAGGTTTGTAAAATACACTGTTCATAAAGATACCAGTTTACAATATGAAGGGAGAAAACATGTCATGCAGGTATTTGCTGCTCGTCTGATTTACATAGTTTGTGGGATGGGGGAGGGGGACGATTTCTCAATGCCAAGGAAATTTGATTTATTGCCATCTGAACTCGCTAATGTTGATTGTTGGTTTTTGTGCATGAACTACTAGTTTCATCTCAAATTGGGTTTGTATTAAAGGGGCTCTGCCTCATCAATTGAAATGACCCCACTATCGCTTATGTGTTTAACCTTTAATTTATTTATTTTACTTGGTGGTTCATTTTCTTTAACTTTTTTATCAAGGATTTAGTAAGTACCATCACAATCCTAACTAATTATAAAAACAAATGCATATGTGTTCCTTTAATAAATTGGATTAGTGGACCCCTCTGTTTGAAATATATATATATATATATATATATATATATATATATATATATATATATATATATTTTTTTTTTTTATTAAACTTATCTTCATTCCAGTACCAAGAGAGACTCCTTACAACAGCCCGATCCTACTCCTGTGAAGTCATCACACTTCATGTTTTTTTGTTTTTTTTTTGTCCTTTTGTCCAGTGAAAAGCCTCTTCTAAAGAAGTATTGCTTATGTATGGCTAATTTTTAGCTTTTTACCATAAACGGCCAGTCCAGTGCTACTATATGTGAAGCACTGCATTCAATACTTCTAATAGAGAATCATTGCAGGCACATATCTAGCATCAACAGATTGACAATCTCTAGATGAGCTTACATAGTCTTCAAAGAGAACATGGGTTTTCTCCTTACTACTGTGCACAAATGGTGCACATTTTAATTTGTGGCATTTTTTTTCTGCATGTGGGCATATTAAGCTTGGTTAATGCAAGCAAAGGCTGGCAGATGCCTGGATGGTATGATGTTTATCTTTTATCTGTACTGGAAGAAAAAATGATGGTAACTCAGAATTCCAAATATAGTTCCTATTTTCAATAAGTGTTCTTATAGCACTGCCTCAGTGTTCCTTCTTACTATAAAGTGGTTTATTACACAATAATCAGGCTGATGCAAGTAAAATGTCTGTATCTCCATGAGCTTTCTATTCTCCGGTGCCTGTACAAATGAGAGATAGAAGCTAGGCCAAGCCGGTTTGTTTCCTATAATGATGACTGTTTCTGTGGATACTGAATCTGTAGAGAATATAAATCACAAACAGGATTAAAGGAGCACTATAGTCAACATATAAAAGCAAGAAAGACAGGTCCCCTAGCCTTCCTTCTTGCTTTTATATTAACTTCCCCTTAATAAAAAAATATTTTTGAGTCCTATTCTAGATACAACTTGCCTCTGTTCCAGTGCCGAGATCCTCAGCAGGCTGCGCCCCCCCTTTTCCTCAAAATGCCGAAGTAGCAGGGCTCAATCAGACGCTCTTCTTAGAGAAGCATCATCGCGATCTGGTGCGCATGCGTGGCTTCGCACTGCACCAATCGTGCTCTTCATTGCATGCCACCCTATGAATGAACACTGAGCACATTCAGCTCGCTGTCTATGCCCGCCCCCTCCTACCGCAAACCTTCAGCCCAATGTATAAAGTATACAAACGCTATATATATATATATATAGTATATATATATATAGTACACAAACACACACATTGAAAATATTGTTAAACATACACACACACTCTATTTCTATCTATTTCTTTCCATCTAATTCTGTCTATCACTCGCCCGCCCCCTCTCTCACAAAATGTTTAGTTACGTTTTGGATCCTGCTGCTCGGTCTTCTGCCTGTCAGCCAGAGCCGCTGGGTGTCTTATCTCCCCACACTGTCAGCTCTGATTGCCGACAGGCTCCGAGGTTAGCTACAGGACACAGGAGGCACTTTCACAGTGCCTCCTGTCTCCTGATATCACGTTTGATGTATCCACCCAAGCGTGAAGACGTCAAACAAGATGAATGCGAATTAGGGAGCCCTGAACTCGGAAGTCCCTCTGGTGGCCGTCTGAGTGATTGCCACTGGAGGTGTTCCTAGCTTCCAAGGTAAACACTGTAGTTCCCTGCAGCCTTTCATGTAAACACTGTATTTTCTCAGAAAATACAGTGTTTACATGAAAGGCTGCAGGGAACTATTGTTCTCAACTGAACAACCTCATTAAAGGGACTCTCCAGTGCCAGGAAAACATCAGTTTTCCTGGCACTGCAGGACTCTGCAGTGCCCCTCTCTCTCCCATCCCTTCAGTGACTTACCTGGATCCAGCGCTGATGTCCCTCAGCGCTGGGTCAGGCTCAGCCGACTGGGGAGACCTAATGCGTAAGCGCGGCAATGGCCATTTGCGCTTATTAGACCTCCCGATAGGAAAGCATTATTCAATGCTTTCCCATGGGGATTCCGGCAATACTGGAGGTCCTCATGCATAGCGTGAGGACATCCAGCGTAGTTAAGAACACTTTTCTAAGAACACGGAAGTCCCTATAGTGGCTGTCTGATAGACAGCCACCAGAACCCTGCGAGGTAATTATTGCAGTTTATAAAAAAAGAAAACTGCAATAATTACACTTGCAGGGTTAATGGTGGTGGGAGTTAGCACCCAGACCACTCTAATGGGCAGAAGTGGTCTGGGTGCCTGGAGTGTCCCTTTAAGCAGAAGTTGTTCAGGTGACTATACGATTTATAAGACACTTTAATTTAATAGCAGCAGAGCAAGTATTCTTGTGGAACGTGAATCTATGGCCTGTAAACAGTATGTAGAGGCAGCAGCCCTTGACGTTTTTACTTACGATTTCCATTTGTGGAAGTGTCCTGTCAATGGCAAGTTTGTATTCTTGAGGTGCAGGAAATAAATAAATGGCAGGATTGGCATCCGATTTTAGCCTGCAGAAGCCAAATGCACTTCACCCATCTTCAGAGGAGTCTGGGCACTCAGGAACCCAGATAAGAGGGCAAAATGTTCAAACATTTTGCCCCACTACTGGGGTATGGTGCCAGGATACATCTCCAGTGGATATAGGGGATATGATGGTTTGGAGTAACCCTTTAAAATATTGTAGCAGGCATCAAAGTAAATTACAGAATTGGACTTATGCTGCATCATAATTGACTTAAAGGAACACAAACATGTATTCATAACCCATTAGTGTTAAAAACACCATCTGGCCATCTTTTGCCCCATAAATATAGTAAAATCTTACTTTTTTTTTCCAGTCTGCTGCTGCTGGCTCTGTCCCTGATCTGCCTGCTTGGCTGACATCAGAAGGCTTGCTTAAAGCCAAACACACTGCTTTCTCACGGGAAAGCATTGGATTGGCATGGGCTGTCAATGAGGCAGATCGGGGCAGAACACAGCCCTGGCCAATCAGCATCTCCTCTTAGAGATGCATTGAGCCAATGAATATCTATGAGGAAAGTTCAGTGTCTCCATGCAGAGCGTAGAGACACTGAATGGCAGTGCTGCACACTGGTGCCCAGGAAGCACCTTGAGTGCCCATATAAGGAGTGACTAGTGGAGGTATGCCTAGGCTGTAATGTAAACACTGCATTTTCTATGCAAAAACATTGTTTACTGCAAAAATCCTGGAGGGAATGATTATACTCACCAGAACTAATACAATAAGCTGTAGTTGTTCTGGTGACTATAGTGTCCCTATATTCATATCCAGAGTATAATCCTATCTCTTCATGCTACATTACATTGCAAAGGGATACGAGAGTGCCAGGAATACAAAGCTGTATTACTAGCACCATCGCTTCTACTGCATTCCCCCTCCCTTGCGCACCCATCCCTGGCAAATAATGTGTTTAAAAAACCCTTTATTTACCTACCTGATCCCAGCGTCGATGTCCTTGGCGCTCAGTCGAAGCTCCGCACCCTTCTTCCGTCCCGCAACGAGCGGGCTTTAATGCATATGCGCGGCAAATGCTGCCCGCTCATTAGACCTCCTCATGGGAAAGCATTTAATTAATGCTTTCCTATGGGGACAAATCTGACTCTGGAGGTCCTATGAGGGTGCTTAAGGTGGGGATCCCTGCTGGAGTTGCCTGATGTCACCTCTCTGCACCCTGATATATTTCTGAAAAAAATAGTCTGCAGCAACTTTGAAAAGAGCCAGGATAATAGAAAAGAAAAATCACTAATTGACAATACTAAATTAAAATCTTAATCTTTAGCAATATCAACTCAGACATGATTATAATAAAGAGTTGAGAACATTCTAACTGAAAAACTTGGAACAGCGCTTTTTATTTTTCTTGCAGAGTTTTCTAAGCGGTTTGTTTGGTCCGATATGCGAGATTGAAGTTGCACTTAATGACGCAGAAACAAGAAAGCTGTCTGAGATCAAAACAGAAGAAGGCAAGATAGAAAAGCATTTCTTATTCTATGACGGTGAATCTGTGGCTGGAAAGGTAAGGACCAGCTAAATTACAAACGCTTAGAAAATATGCAAATAAATGGTTCCTCCATGTCTCAATCCATGCACTTTGGCTCTTCATAACTAGTGTGTGTTAAGGTCAGCTTCTGGTAGCAAAACATTATACTGGAAAATTGGTTATGGTTGGAACCCAGTGGACCCCTAGGTAACAAGTCAAACCGTTCAAATCCCGTTTGACTACTTGCAATGGGGGGGGGGAGGGGTGCTGGAATTCATGACTGGCACCATAACCACTACAGCGTACAAGATGCTAGTTTTGGCCCAGCTCAGTCCATTGTTCATGTATTTTATTTTGTCTCATTGCTGGTTAGTTAGCTGACACTCATCATGCTATGCTGTTTAATGATTGCTGAAAAAACAAACTTGGAATTGATCATTTCTCAAGGATAACTTTTCCAGGATCATTAGCATATTCCATACCTTAGTAGAATATTGGTGGTGTATGAGCAAATACATGCATCAGCAATTAAGAATCACTTAGTCTGTTTTTTTTTGTTTTTTGTTTTTTTGGATCTTCTCAGAAATGTAAAGCATGTTCTCCAGTTGTATAAATGAAATGCTAAGTGCCAGATAAACACGGTTTATATTGAACATTTTTTGTTTCTCTAAATCTTTAAGTGGTCCCATCATCTAGACGTGGATAGCAAAGAATACTTTAGGTGGCTATTAATATTTTATCTGTTTACATTAGGATAGAATCAGCAAATGTATAGAAAGGTTCGTATCTGAAACTTTTTGCTTCCTCATCCATCAGTCTTGCTGCAAAGGATATTTATACATCTGTTAGTAAACCATTAATGTAAATGCAAGATGATGTAATCTCTTACATTTGCGCTGTCTGTCCTTGTATCTTTGCAACATTTATGTTTTGTGTGTTTTTGTCTGTGTAGGTAAACATTGTCTTCAAGCAGCCTGGTAAAAGACTAGAACATCAAGGAATACGGATTGAGTTTGTTGGACAAATTGGTAAGCTTGCTCTCTGCCCATTTAATAATTTATTTAATCTCTTTGACTTGGTTATAATGTCTGGAGTCCTCAGGTACTGTCCCTCCATTCAGTGTTTAAACCATTTTCAAGCAGTTTAACACTAAACAAGAGTACCTGGACAGCCACAGCCTGACCTTACAGAAGATCTGTCTAAACAATGATTACACACTTCCTGCCATACCAATTCATACCAGCAATGGGCATTGTGATGGACTGACAGCAGTCAGCTGACACTCTCAGCCAATCACAGCCACCCATTTCTACTCAGTCTAGTGCTTACTTAAGCAGCACAAAGAGTATAGGCTTCTGAGGACTCCCATTTAGCATTGAAAATGGTTCAACACTGAATGAAATGAAGGCACTAAGGACTTTGGACAATGGCAGTGCCTACAGTTTCCTTTTTTAAGTTGAAAGTTTAACCTCACAGAATTGTCTGTTCTATAGCACATTTATTATAATAAACAAACTTCCACTGGATGTAAGTGGCCATTGTCTCCTCCTGGTTACTGCTGAACTCATTGTTTAATAAATGCTTCATGAAAGTGTTGTAAATTGTGAAATTGTATAGTTGATGTGTTAGAGAATATTTCAAGTTGGATTGAGTCTGTTCAAGATTGTTCCCCCTACGCAGGCACATTACTTTAGTGAGATTATGGTGAAGATGTTATGACTATAGTAGGTTGTTTTATGCAAAATGTATGTACCGCTACAGAATCACCAATATTTGGTAAACTATATCGCATTACTGTAAAACTGCATCCATGTTAATGTTAAAACCAGACTCCTTTATTTTTATTCATCTTATAAAATTATTATAATGGAAATGTGCTTTAAATTGCTGCAGCAAGTCTGTGCAAACATTTTTATACCACAAAGCAGAGACTGAAAATTGGGATAAAGTATATCTCACAGGGCGTGCATTGCAAGGACTTTTCTTCTTGTAACTTGTATAAGTAATGTAAGGGAACATGATTACGTCTTCGCAATATGTAAAATTAAGAGGTTTATTTTTCCCCTTTCCAGAACTTTTCAATGACAAAAGTAATACACATGAATTTGTGAACCTTGTCAAAGAGCTGGCCTTACCTGGAGAACTGACACAGAGTCGAAGTTATGATTTCGAGTTCATGCAAGTCGAGAAGCCTTATGAATCCTACATTGGCTCTAATGTTAGGCTACGGTATGATTTATTTTTAATCATTGCACCAAGTTTCTTCAACAGCCCACTGTAGTGGTTATGGTGCCAACAGTGTTCTAATGTCCTCCCAGGATCCAGTGTTCAAACCAGTTTAATAAACTACCTGGGTCACGACCTGATACAAGGGCTGCACTCATTGGCTGGAAGCACTGGTGCCCTCAGCCAATGAGAGAAACCTTCATGGCCCTGCTTTGCTCAGTGGAGCAAACCCTATTCTTCTTGTACGCAAAATTGTAAACAGGGCTTCAGTTGCAGACTTAGCTAAGTTGCCAGGCTGTTCTTAAACTGTTTGAATTCTTACCCTGAGAAGGCACCAGTGCAGCCTTGGCACCATAACCACTACAGTGCTACTTGTAGTGTTCCTTGAACGGCAGTCCTTAGATTAGGATAGAGTAGCACCTGCCAATAGTGGGGTTATGGCTTTGCCACATGCTTGTGCAATGGATAATGATGATGATATCTTGTAAGTAATGTCTCATTATTTTCTTTAGATAGATGATTTTATCAATGTTAAAACTAGCCTTAACACAAAATGCAGAATAAAGCAAGTTACGTGAAACTAGTTTTAATTGTTCCTGGCAGGACTCTTGTGAGTGCAGCCTATATTCTAATATTTTTAAATGCATTTCTAAAAACATTGTACAATCTACCCAACAAACGAAATGCCAAAGTGGTGCCTCTGAGCCTGTTCAGTAAGTACACTAAAGGTGTATTCTTGAATCTTCCATATTTATAAAACGTGTTAAATGTCCCCGCCCCCCAACCTCTATTTTTACCTTTTCATAACAGGTGTGAACGATAATTTTGTTTCTTGCTATTTTGTTAGATATTTTCTTAAAGTAACAATAGTGAGGCGCATCTCAGACCTGGTAAAGGAATATGACCTGATTGTTCACCAACTTGCAACATATCCAGAAGTTAACAACTCAATCAAAATGGAAGTTGGAATAGAAGACTGTTTGCATATAGAATTTGAATACAACAAGTCAAAGTGAGTGTTTAATCTTAGCTAATGTTTGTGGTTTAATTTTTCCTCCACCCACCCACAGTAAAAGTTTGTTAAAACCTATAATTAATTGGTAATTGTACAAACACTAGAGATCAAATTAAGATTACAGCTTTATTATATAGACAAGTAGATGCTTGGAATCTGCTCTGCTGTAAATATACTATAAATTATGTTTATTATTTTGTTTAGCTTTTTTTTGGTTCCATAATTATATCCCTTTTGTTTGAAGGTACCACTTAAAAGATGTAATTGTTGGGAAAATTTACTTCCTTCTGGTCAGAATAAAAATCCAGCACATGGAATTGCAGTTGATAAAAAAAGAAATCACTGGAATAGGTAACAACATTTATTCGAATCAAAGCCATGCTTTCCTGTTTATAGTTTTAGAACTTTGTGTGCACGTTTACACAAAGCGCTTCTTTAAAGGTAAATTTGGTTCTGGAATGTACCCTCCATTCCTTTTTAGGGCATAAAGTGCAAAATAGACATTGAATAATAAAAAAGGGGGGGACAGGGGGGAAATGTAGTTCAGCCTCCATATCTAAAATACTGATAATTGAACTACATCTTCAGGAATTGACAGGATAAAGTCAGCACTGTGAAAAAGGGGCAACAGAACTTTAATAGATCATGCTGATTGGTTGATTGCTTTCTTATTTGAGCAGTATTACTGCTGGAAGTCGGGCCTGGTGATTGCAATTGCAGCACAAATGAGCATGAGCACCCTTATTTATGTTTTGTTTTGGATTGCTTTTTTAAATTTTATTTTTTTTCTCCTCTGTTTTAAATGCACGATCTATATAATGCATTATAAAGGGAAAAACCTGTTGTGTACACTTTATGAAGGAGTGAGCATTAAATATAATAGACAGAAATGTGTTCCTAGATTTAGCTCAAAGCCAACTACAATGTGTCCTAACAATTGGTCATGTGATAACACTTGCAAACAAAATGAACTATACATAGTGTTTGACAGAGAGGGGTGTTTGGTGCCAGACCCATTATACCTGTGACACTATAAATCTCCTTAGCAATACACTCCAAATGACATGTTTTGTCATTTCTAGCCTAAATCATAACTTACTGTCTACAAACACTTTACTCCTAATATTTGTGATGTTTTTTTTTCTATTGTGCCACTGTAACAGGTTTTTGGTGTGTGTTTTTGCCTTTCTTTTTACAATTTGTTAATTGTATGCATCTACTTCTTGGAATTTTATTTTTTTTTGTTCACCAACTTTATCCATTTTGTCACAGGACCTAGCACAACAACGGAGACAGAGACGGTTGCAAAGTATGAAATTATGGATGGGGCACCGGTAAAAGGTACAGATTTTGTCTTGTGCATGTAACAATAATAATAACGCAGTATTTAACCAGGAAAGGTACATTCAGATTACTGTGGTTTTCAAGTACGTCCTGGGGATGTTACCTTAGCCCAACATCCAGGGGTTGTTAGTATTACCCAATTTAATGGTACTCCTGTAACAATGTCAACATAACTTTAGCACTGCTCTTTCATATGTTTGAGGGAGGAAAAAACTGTAAAAGAGACTGCCTTGGAATAAGTGTATTTTTTTTTTTTTTGCATTTTTCTATAGCATGATTTTTTTTTTTTGTGTGTGCAGATTGTAAGCTTACTTGCAGAATGTTGAAAAACCTGGGCAGGGTTGTCTTCTCCTTTTGTATCAGTGTGTTGAATTATATATCCGTGCCCGTCCGTATAATTACCAGTGTTCTTTTTGCATACATTGTAAAGGATAAGAGATCTGTAATGCAACTGCTGCATGAGCAGTGTTCCTCTGATTACTTCCACTGGCAGACAGTGATTTCCACACTTGCAACATTCCCGTATCGAAAGCGGGAACTAATCAAGATGAATGAATGTAGTCTTTGTGCATGTGTAGTAAGTCTCCCATACAGAATATGCTGCAGGTGCAGGGAATGTGTTTAGCTCTCTAAGCTTGCACTGAATTTTATTTATTTAATGTACATTTTGTTTATTACTAGATTTGTAATTTAAAACAATCTTACATATATTGCAGTTAGAGCACTTAAAGTAATTTTGTTTTCAGGGTCTTTGCCGACAAAAAAATATTGGGAATAAGAAATCCAAATTTTATTTTTGTTTTGCGTTGGTTTTGTTTTTTTTTTCCTGTCTTTTTCCTGAGAATGAAATAATGTTGATTTGTACCTTATTGTTGTTTTTTGTTTTCTTCCTAATTTCTTTCTGTATGAAACTTTACAAAATCATTTTGGGTTTCCTGGTTACTTTCAAGCTGTTCTAATTAAATTCTGTTCTGTTTCTTCAGGTGAATCCATTCCAATCAGACTTTTTCTTGCTGGGTATGATCCAACACCCACCATGAGAGATGTGAACAAAAAGTTTTCTGTGAGATATTTCCTGAATCTGGTACTTGTAGATGAAGAAGACAGACGATACTTCAAACAACAAGTATGTCTTTCTGTAATGAAAATTGCCATATATAGACACTGGTTACGTCAGGAGAATTTTATAGTATTTTTTTTCGTTTTAATCCCAAATGTATACATTTTTGCTGCATAATCTGTTGATTCTTTGTTTTTTTTTTTGTTTTTTTAAGCATCACGCAGAAATAGGTTTGTATCTGGGCCCTACATTATTAAAAGGGTATTTCCTACGAGGGCCAGATTTCTTCCATGTCCTGATATTGGTAGATGTCACTGTAGAAGAAAGAGGTACTTGGAATCTGCAAAAAAAAATAATTTGTTTTTTGTTTTTCTTGGGAGAATTGTCATAAAATTCTTTACTTTTCCTGACATATGGTGGCAGTACAATAGGGATGTACTCTTACCATGGGACAAGCATCTGAAATAAAAAAATTAACATAAGTTTATCCCCCAACAGGTATAAGACCTGCCATGATCCCTCAGTTCTCTTTCTTGTTCCATTAGGAACAAACGGCATCTGGATTTTTTTTTTTTTTTTTTTTGTGGTGGGGCACATGGGTTTCTGCCAGGGGGATCCGCCCTGATAGCCTCCCAGGTGGAGAGCGGAGTGGCCTGAGTGCATCCTGCAGGAGTTATGGAGCAGGTATGTTTAACTTGCCTTATGCCAAATGCGGTCACTGGCAGAGCAAGTAGGAGGTCCCTAGCGGCAGCAAATCACTGCCTGAGTGAGACGCACGCGCACAGGAGTGGAATGCACGCCCGGAAGGTAATGCGTTCCATCGTAGTACCGACCGCGCTTCCGCGTGCGCGGTCAAAATTCCAAGAAATGGTGCGAAATTTGAATGTTTGCCTATTTATGCTGTGCAGACCCTAATGACAGCATAGATGCTTGCCAGGAAGGATTTCCCATGTCACCAGCCCACCCACCCCCACCCAGGGCAGAGGTTTTAGAGGTGAGATTTTTCAGTCTCTAATCTTTAAGATCTCTATGTCTCTCATTTTACTTTTCCAAACAATTTTATTATTGCTTTGTTTTGCAGATATGTGTAGTCCTATCTCTCTAGATATTATGGATAAAGACAAGGTGCCTGCTTCTAAAAAAGCCAGTTATAAATCGAAACCTTTTGAGTTGTAGCGAATGCTCCACACCACTACCAGATGGTACTGAAAGGAAAATCTGCAATCAGTGTTCGTCCTTATCGCTGGAAAAGTCCAAGCAACAGGACATGAAGTCATTCTTGTCTTAGCTTCAAGACAATCTGGCCCAGACGTTTGAGTCATTCAAAGTTTCTACAAAGTCTAATGTTACAGCACCTGTTAAAGGTACAGCCAAACAGGGGCAAAAGTGGAAGAGATCTTCTTCTATATCAGAATTGTCCTCGTGTGAATGTCCCATGTCTTCCCATTTGGAAACTTCCAGCGATTCTTCTGTGAGTTAATTTGGTTTCCCACATGAAGAATTAAGAAAGTTTATTAAGGAATTTAATGTTGCCTTCAGATAAGAGACATCAGATTAAGCAAGTAAGAAAGCCCTTCCAGTTCCACAGCAGATTCTGGAGCTTATGTGCAGAGAGTGGAAAAACCCTGAAAAAAGGGCATTTATTTCCAGGCACTTCTAGAGCATGATTAAGCTGCAGGGTGAAGACAAGTGGGAAGACTTGCCAGTCGTTGATGTACAAGTTGCTCAGTCGTCTAAAAGGACTACTATACCGATTGGAGAAGTCTCTGGACTTAAAGAACCTATTGATAAGAGGGCTGAAACGTCCAGCAGATGTGCGTATCAGGAACCAGGATATCAGACTAAAGCAGCATTGGCAGGAGCTTCAGTGGCTAAAGCTCACTCTTATTGGATTCAAATACTGGACAATAGCCTGGAGAAAACCAAGACAAAGATCTCTTATCTGTTCTAAAATTTAAAGTTATCCAATGAATACCTGCTAGATGTCATCACAGAGGTGATTAAACTTTCTGCTCGTGTCATGGGCCTGACATCTATGGCCCGCAGGGCACTTTGACTTAAAGCATTGCCGGCTGATACGGCTTCAAAGTCTGCACTTTGTGAACTTCCTTTGGAGAGGAAGAAATTATTTGGGTCTCCTTTTGATCAATTAATCTGACAAATGTCGGAAACCAAAAAAGCTCTTCCTCATGACAGGAAGTATTCCTGGAAGCCCAGAAACAAAACTTCCAATACAAGAACTGCAGGGGGTATCAAGAAAAACCCAGGTTTTTGTCAACAAAGGAAGATCCAAGGTTTGATGCACATAAAGATATCGACTGACCGGGCAACAAGATTCTGATGCCATACGAGGCGGATGAATACAACAATTTGCTCACAGATGGAGAGAGACCACTGCGAATCCATGGATTTTAAATCTGGTTGCAAGAGGATACAAAACAAAGTTCTTCAATGTACTAAGAGCAAGTTTCCTTGTCTCCTCATACCGTTCAGTGCTAAAAAAAAAAACCAAGCTCTTTTCACCGCTACGTTTACCCTTTTAAAGAAAAGTGTTGTAGAAAGAGTTCCAAGAGCCCAGCTATATTAAGGTTCCTAGTCCCAAAACCGGATGTGTCCTTTCGTCCCATTTTGGATCTGAAAGAGTTAAACAACAATATTCCAAACCAGCATTTCAGAATGGAGACCATCGCATCAGTCACTCATATCCTTCAAATGGGGACTTTTATGGCAACTTTGGATTTTAAAAGATTCCTAGCTATACATTCCTATGGACGTTGGCTCAAGAAAGTATCTGCGATTTGCATTAAAGGGTCACATGGCTCGTCACTTTCAATTCAAAGCCCTTCCATTTGATCTTGCCTCAGCTCCCAGGATTTTTACAAAGGTTCTCACGCCTATTACAGCTTTCTTAAGGGTACATGGTGTTACGGTTGTCCCATACTTGGACGACTGGTTCATAAAGGCAAATTCTAGAGATGGATGTGGCTTACATCCTCACAATCCTAGAAGAACATGGTTGGGTGATAAGCCTAGGAAAATGTTATCTGCACCCTACAAGGTGAATTCCTAGGTTTTAAAATCAAGTCAGACTCTCTTGCTATTCACTTGACTGTGGGGGAAAAAAGGAGAAAGATAAAGAATCTGACAAAAGAACTTCAGAGAGTACCAAAATGCTCTGTGAGAAAAGTTATGCAGGTGTTTGGACACCTCACTTCCACCATCTCCGCAGTAAAATGGGCCAGAGCAGCATCAAGGCCTTTGCAGTGGGAAATCCTTACAAAGTGGTCAAAGAAAGATGATTTGGATTCTTTGATAAGCATTTCATATCCTGTAAGAAGACAACTAGATTGGTGGCAAAAGACCAGTTTCATTTCAGAAGGTCTATTATTTTGGCCAAAATAATGGGTCATAATCACCACAGACGTTTCGAATACAGGTTGGGGTGCACACCTGCAGTATCACTTAAGGCAAGGAACATGGTCCGAAGGCGAAAAAAGGAATCCTCAAATTACAAGGAGTTAATAACCATCTTATATGCTCTATATTAGTTCAGAGCTCTCATTATGGGGAAAGCGGTAAAAATTCAGACAACCAGACTATGGTAGCTTACCTGAACAAACAAGGGGGTACAAGGATAAGAAAATTGCACTCCCTTTCCACACGGATTATGTCCTGGGCTCAAAGTCATCTAGAAGATCTATACGCTACGCATATAAGAGGGATAGACAACATTATTGCGGACGACTTAAGCAGATCGAGATGGTCCTAGAACGAGTGGTCTCTAAACCCGGTATTTTTATCAGCTGGTGAAGATATTCGGCCTGCCGGTCATAGATCTAATGGCGAGAAGGTGAAATGCAAAGGTGAAAAGATTTGTCTCCCTCTTCAAGGCAGACATGCCTCTAGTTCTGGATGGGCTGTCAATCAAGTGGGCATTCAGCCCTGCATACATATTTCCCTCCGTGAGCCTAATTCCAAGAATTTAGCAGAAGGTGAAAACAGAACAAGCAATGGTACTGGCCAAATCGGAGCTGTTTCTCTGTTTTAATAACAATGGTTTTAAAGTATTGGGAGCTTCCGGTTTTAACAGAGCTCCTGGAGAACGAAGGGATTCCAGTGGAGGAATTGAAAATGTTCAAATTGACGGCTTGGCTGCTGCACGGCTAATCCTGCATAACAGAGGCATTAAGAAAGAGATTTAAGATTCTTATGAATTCTACCAGAAGAGCTACCTCTGCTATATATTTGAAAATGTGGACGAAATTCCTTCATTAGTGCATATCTCACTATTGCCTAAGAGCTTAGTTTATCTACCCTCAAAGTTCAAGTTTCTGGTAAAGAACTTGGTTTCGGATCCTCTGGTTAGGAGATTTTGAAGGCTGTCAAACTTATTAAGCCTCCGATAAGTGTTTTTTCCTCTTGGGACCTGTCTTTGGTTTTGAAGTCTTTGTTCCCAGCCTTTCAAACCCTTAGAGGAAACCTCTTTAAAGCTCTTGTCTATAAAATCTGTTTTTTGGGGGGGGTTTTTGTGGCCAAAACTTCTGCTAAGAGGGTAGGTGAAATTCAGGCCCTTTCATCGTCTGCTGAATTTACTAAGATTCTTCCAGACAAGGTTGTGCTGTATCCGAAATATTTGTTTCTACTTAAAGTCATCTCATCCAGGTCTATCAACCACCAATTTCCCTGTCTTCTTTTTAGTTGTCCATCTGTCTTCGAGTTGGATGAGAATTGACACTAGTTGAATGTCGGAAGGTTTCTTAAAATCTACTTGGATTGCTCCTCTGCTTACAGGAAGACTGACCATCTTTTTTTCAATTTCTTTAGAAAATTTAAAGGTCATGTTGCCTCCAAAGCTACTCTGGCTAGATGGCTCGTGGACACTATATTTAAAATAGCTTATTCGTCCTCTGATCTACCTTTGCCTACCTCCTTGAAAGCTCATTCTACAAGACCCGTGGCTGCTTTCTGGGCCAAAAAAAGCACAAGCTTCACCTGAAGACATCTGGAGAGCTGCTATATGGTCTTCATTCAATACCTTCATCAAACATTACAGACTAGAAGTATTCTCTGCCTCTGGTGCTGCTTTCGGGCATAAGGTGTTACAAGCGGTGGTTGCTTAATTCCCACCCATTGCTCAGGGATCTCGATATCTCCCTATTGTGCTGCCACCATAGGTCAGGAAAAACTGCAATTGTACTCGCCGTAAATTCCTTTCTCCTTAATATGGTGGCAGTACATCACTCCCTCCCTTAATTAAAGGACCACTCTAGGCACCCAGACCACTTCAGCTTAATGAAGTGGTCTGGGTGCCAGGTCCCTCTAGGATTAACCCTTTTTTTTTATTTATTTGACAGCCGCTAGAGGCGTTTGCGTGCTTCTCACTGTGAAAATCACAGTGAGAAGATGCCAGCGTCCATAGGAAAGCATTATGAATGCTTTCCTATGAGGCTGGCTGGCTGGCTGCGCGCGCAGCTCCTGCTGCGCATGCGCATTCAGCCGAAGAGGAGGAGAGCTCCCTGCCCGGCGCTGAAAAAAAGGTAAGATTTAACCCATTCCTCTCCCCAGAGCCCGGCGGGAGGGGGACCCTGAGGGTGGGGGCACCCTCAGGGCACTTTAGTGCCAGGAAAACGAGTATATTTTCCTGGCACTATAGTGGTCCTTTAATAAATTTTATATTTCTGCAGTATTGAGTCTCTGATGTTTTCTTGGGATGTAGTGAGGGTCCATGGCAGGTTGGTGTCTTATACCTGTAGGGGGAGGAAATTTTATTTTAATTTTTAATTTCGGATGCTTGTCCCATGGGAAGAGTACATCCCTATTGTACTTCCACCATATTAAGGAAAAAGGAATTTACAGTGAGTAAAATTAATTGTTTTTATATACCCTTTTAAAAACTGCAAACTCCTTTACAGTTTGGTTTAAAAGATCTAGCCCTCTGCACCAAATACATGAGATGGAAATGTATATAGCTATGTGTGTTTTGTTTTCAGTTTCATGAGTATCTAATTTGGTTGGGCTTTTTAATGCTAACCATAAGCTGTGTTCTTAACCAGGAAATTGTTTTATGGAGAAAAGCACCCGAGAAGATAAGGAAAAGAACCAATTTTCATCAACGATATGAGCCCTCTGATCCACAAGCGTCCGCTGAAGAACCCGAAATTTAAACCTTTTGTATTCCACTTGAGATGAAGGATGGAAACCAGAAAGAATGCCAAATCTCCCTCAAAAACGTCTTCCTTCATCCAGTGCTGCTGCATTTAATTTACCACACTAAACATTCTGCGGTCTGTATGTAATTCCACATGTAAATATATAAATACCAAGTGCTTTTGCCGAAACACTGGACCTTTCTCGGACTAGCATTTTATAGAAATACTTTATTTTTTAATTTTGAGATTTTTTGCATTGGAACATACATCAAGATAAAAACAGATGCTTCATGTTTGTGTTTTTTTTTAAATGCATGTAGGCTGGTGTAAATTAAAGAGAAACAAAATTGCCTTATCGTCCCGGTCTTTCATGTAAAATTATTACTTTGTTTTGTCATTCTGGAATCCATTCATTTATTTTTGAACACCAGATCATAAACTGCCTGTGGATCTGTCTAAACTCTCTGAATTCACTTTGAAAATGAAGGCTATATTAAACATTTTGAAGACCTATTGTGTGCATTTTATTTTCTAACCATCACACAAAATAAATGCTTGTACTCATTTATTTTTCCTTTAATCATTAGCTTCTTTGGTTAGTTTTTCTTGTATTTTTATTGGATTTCTGAAATTGTTACATTCAATTTTCATTTTTACCCCCTTTTGAAGCTCTTTTGCTAAATGATTAAAAAAAGCTGGTTAATAGGATGTCCTACTGTAGCTGTGAAAAATTCAGCATCTTTCTTTCTGTTATCCATTGAATTCACATGATTATTGTTGTAATGGAATTGGAAAAATAATTCACAATGTATATAAATTGCTTTATTATATTGTACAAGTATTTTATATCAATGTTTGGGGCAAAATACTGATAAAAATAAATATATCCTTTAAACATTATGCAGCCTTTTAAATTGCCCTTTTCTTCACTTGTGGTTTTGTTTTTCCTTTTGGACTTTAGTATTAAAAATGCAATATGGGGGCTATGGTTTTTTCTTTTTCTACATAGATTACTTTTAGGAATGCTTTTTTAACTGGCCTTTTTTATTCCACCCTTTTTGTGTTTGAGTCATGGATCAAAGCAGAGTGTGTCCTTTTTAATTTACATTTATTTATTTTTTTTGGTATTAAGTAAGCATAACAGGTATGTATTGACATTCCACATGAGTGATTAATAATGCACAGATATAAATATAAAGGTAATGAAAAATATTAAATGAGATACAAGGAATTATGAATCCTGCTAGGGTAAGTTGCTAAACATAAAAATAATCGCAAAATAATACCACATCCCTACCATAAGGATCGTCACAATATCAGTAGGAAACAATAACCGTCATCAAGATACATATCATTAAGTAGAGAAGATGTCACCTGCCACCTTTGGGTGGATTGATAATTAAGTGGCAGTCCCTCAGATATAATCAGCGGACTCCCTGAGCTGGCAAAGGTACTTTACAGCCAGAGAAGGTTATGCACTGGATCCGGGTGCTCCTCCAGTTCTGAGCCTGCATGAGTGCAATCACCATTAAATCACGAACAGGAGACTATTGCAGTCCCGGTCTAACCCCTGTCGTGGGGAGACGGAGGATTGAGGTGGTGAGTTCCGCTGTTTGTGGACAATCTTCCGCCTGTGTGGGCGACACGAGGCGGCTATGCCTCAAATGGCTCTCTGCCCATATACGCAAGGTGTAGATTTCACAGGCTTTCTTAGTTGTATATTGCCTCTAGGGGACCCTTGCAGTTGCATTCTGCTCCGATCTACCATCTTAGGCTGAGAGTGATATGCAGCGTTGCATTGCTCCAGTGTTTGCCAGAAGCGCTGAAACAGCTCTTCGAGTCCCAATAGGGAGCTATCTGTAGAGTCACGGTAATCCCTCTTAGTGGAGCTCACATCATGTGTACCAACGAAAGTGGCGTCCGCCATTTTAGATTGTCACAGTTGGTTCAATATGAATTCGTAGTAGAGGTACGTATGTTTACATTTAGAGTATATGGACCCAGGGGGGACTGGGATAAACCCCACGGGTCCAAAAGGGGGGTTATACAGGGCTGATGCTCGGGGTCAAGCGGTGCACCTCTTGCCTAGAGACGGGCTGCTTCTCCTAGCAGTCTGCGCTTTAAACTCGGTAGCCTCAAACCTAGAAGTGGGTAAGGGGTTAGAAAATAACTCCTAATCAGGGCAAAAAGGGTTGTGCCGTGCTTCACAAGCTTGATTTACGGTTCAGGATTCATTTCAGCATTACTATGTGTAGCAAAAACTTGGTTTCAGCTCAAACCATGGGGAGCTACAGGAAAACACATCTGGCCATGCTGGAAGCCAGGCCCCGCCCCTTAATTTAAACTTTAAGTGGTTCAGAATTTCTTTTTTTTTTAACACATTTTTGCATTTATATATTTACGTCTGTTACAAAGATCTGAAATAGTGAAGCGCAGAAAGGAAGACAACATTAAGTAGTAGAAGTAACAGGACAGCCAGGGAGTGTAATAAGGTTAATTTATAAAAGTGCTAGTTTATTTTGAAATCTGTGTGGTGTAAAATGAGAAGAGGACACCCTCTTTGTAACGGCACCCCCAGGCATAAAAGGGGTTAAAAGCCGTTTAGGAGATATTCCCTTCCAGATATACAGGCAGCTACTGTAGACACCAATCCACCAGAGAAGAATATGAATGCTCTCAAACATACGAATGTTGTAAACAGCCGAATAGGAAAAACCATACGAATAGGTTTACACTCCTAGCAGTCGAACTGGAACAGCATACAAGTCCCCCCAAGAACGAGACAAGGCTCTGTTTTGAGGGTCAAGCATGAACAGACAGAGCTGTGGGTTTGTTCTTATATACACATTCTTACACATTAGTACCACCCACAGGGTTTTAGAAAACAACCAATAAACACGTACAATACACTCAGACACTCCCACACAAAATCCTCCCCTCTGCCTGTGATACAATTACCTTACACAATGGGTAATGTAATTATTACAGGCAGAGAGTTTTTTTACATTATTCATAATTTTAAAAGTATCACATTCACATAAAACTCAAATTTTCAGAATCAGCATGCTCCAAATACAAACATCCGTCAAAATCATACAAACTGATCCTGTGGTTCAAAAGATAGATCGTAGTCCTTTGTGACCAAATGAAGCATGGCTTTTCTGCCCAAAACCAGTTCCACAGAGTCTTCTATCCTGGAGATAATTGGGAAGTAATCCAATTATCTCCAAAGACAGAGGCAAAACTCCATTGAACACATGGCAGCAAAAGACATAAAAATAAATAACTGTGCAGCCATTGCATAAAACAGGTACATTTAACATATCCCCAGATAGCTCAGATCTGAGCGCACATTATTACTGATTGGTGCTCAGATCACACACACACAGTTCAATTGCCATGGAGCCAAAGTCTTTCCCATAGCCTTTCATTATACAAATGGGCACCATGGCATAGCTATTTGGGGTATCACCGCTCAAACCCGGCTTTCGTGTCTTTGCAGGGGAAAATCAAGCGTTTTAACATTGGGCCATAGTCTAAAGGCAGCAGGCGGGCAACCAGGCTCCTCCAATGCACAGTGGCGAGATTGGTCTCGTCACATCCTTCACACATCAAGTGGCAAGTTTAAGTATTTTAGGGGGTCTAGTTTGTCTGTTTAAACTCCTTTCCACACAGTTTTATTTTATTCATTATTAAAGGGATTCTCCAGTGCCAGGAAACCATATCCGTTTTCCTGGCACTGCAGGACACTGCAGTACCCCTCTCTCTTCCACCCCCAATCCCATGTTGCTGAAGGGGTTAAAACCCCTTCAGTGACTTACCAGAATCCAGTGTCGATGTCCCTCGGCGCTGGGTCAGGCTCTGCCCACGCTCCTCCCCACCGGGGAAGACCTATTCTATTTTTCAATGCTTTCCTATGGGGATTCCGGCAACGCTGGAAGCCCAGCTTAGTTTAAAACACTTCGTGTTCTAAGAACGCAGAAGTCCCTCTAGTGGCTAGAGGAGGACTTAACCATGCAAGGTCATTATTGCAGTTTATAAAAACGTTACATTGCAGGGTTAAGGGTGGTGGGAGTTGGCACCCAGACCACTCCAATGTGCAGAAGTGGTCTGGAGTGTCCCTTTAATCCAGTTGAAATTGCATTGAGTCTCTTACAGATAGCTAGATTGTCATTTGGATACACTGGAGTTTGTCACTTGCATCCATTTTCAGGGGGCCATCTCGAAAGAAGCACGAACAATCTCTAGATAAGATGAATTGGGAAACAATTCAAGAAAACTACATGCATTTCCATCACATAGATTGATGGTACTTGGAGTAAAATAAATTCTGTTAACTACCAAGAAGATGAAAGTTAAAATAATACAGCTGTGAAAAATAAAAACAGGACCATGTCTTCTGGAGTTCAAATTGAAGGGGAGTAAATTCCACAGTAGTAAAGATGACAGTCTTTCACAGAGAAATGTATTTCTAAGGAAGCAATTGTGCAACCAATCCTGCTTGTAAATCTCATAATTACATATAACCACAATCCACATACTGTGATTTGAAACTTGATGAACACAAAAGTTTAAAAAATTAAAAAGGGGGGGCGGAGCTTAACCACGGAGCTGAATGGACGCCATTCTCCACGGCTCCCCAGCACCAACAGGCAATCCGTCGCATCTCAGGTACGGGGGACCATCGACCCGTGAGACCCATAGCCACAGCACCAGGGCTTACAAGGCTACCCACCGATTCCCTTTTTGTACTCCCAAACGGGCAAAAAAACGAGTCCGCAAATCCCGGTCCTACCTCTCCCTCTCGCCGGTATTGCAACTACCCGCAGGGTCCTCCCCGAGCCTAGAGGACTGGTACAGACAGCGGGCCGACCACCACCTACCACCCAGCGACAAAATGGGGAGGCTGCACCCAGGGACTCACAAGATATAGGGGCCCTACTACAGCGTACTGGAGGCCACAAAATGGCGGCCAACCAAGATCAGGAGACTGGCTCCACAAGCTCAGAAGACTGTCACAAGGATGCAGAGCAGACAGGCAATCAGAATCCCTTAGCAGCCCACAAGCAGAAGGAGAAGACTCGGCCCCAGCCACTAAAAAAGATAGACTCTTGCTACAAGAAATGAAGCAGATGTTTGATGCTGACATAAATCTAATGCGCACATAAACGCATGCAGTGTCAGCACGAGTACAGGCCTCTGAAGAGTACATACTGGACCTCAGACAAGAAGTGAAAAACATGGGGAACACCCTGAAACACTTGCAGACGGCGAACACAGTGCTCCAAAACACACAAGACGCCATGGAGGATCGCGGCAGGCGCACACATATTAAGATTCGGGGTATCCCTGACACAGTTAGACCATCCAAATTACCACAGTAACTGAGGAGACTCACGGCAACAATCCTGCGACACACGCAAGCCAAAAAGCTGGAATTCGACAGCCATTTCCGCATAAATATAGCAAAAAGGGCACCCACAACAGCTTCAAGAGAAGTCATAGTCCACTGCCACTCCATGACAGACAAACGCCGCATATTAGCAGCAGTGAGAGACAAGACACCACTGGCCTTCGAAGCTTCACAACTAACCTTTTTCCAAGATATCACGCGGAACACCCTCCTCTGGAGAAAGTCCCTGAGTGGAGTAAAGGAACAACTGCGAAAAAGGAAGTGTAGAGTACTGATGGCTGTTGCCGAGAACCCTGGCGGTCATCAGCGGAGCAGAGGTCCTAAAATTTACCTCACTCTCAGAGGCCCCTGTGCTTCTCCAAAAAGTGGGACTAACACAGAACGCCTCAACACCAGTAACAACAACAGCCCCCCACTCATGGGACCTGGAGAGAACTACTACATTCTTCCCCAGGGACAACAAGAGACCGGAGGCAGAGACCTGAACACCACAAAAAAAAAAAAGGGGGGGGGGGGCGTGGGATAGAGGAGGAAGTTGGGATGCAGGGATGTGCGAACATTACAGTTGGTAGTGCAAAATGGGAATTAAAGGGTCTGCAAAGGTTGGTGATCTACCTTTTGGCTGCCCATTTTTGGAAGCAGGGATTGGATGTAATGTAGGAGACAGAAGTGCTAAGGAAACTTTAAAGTAACACTGATAATATATTTTTAATGGTGTGGTGTTCCGTAACACACCTTGTGGTAAACCATATTGTTTATTTATTGGGGAGTCTGTTACTTCAGTAACTTTGGCACTTCGGAAATTCGGTAATTTCGGAACTTCGGGACCTTGGCAATTCGGCACTTCGACACTTCGGGACTATACCGCGAGTAGGGGCATGTCTATTAAACAGTGAGCAGCCAGTGGCATTTTTTTTTAAAAATGGGTCCCCCCTCCCAAGCCCCGGGTGGGGGCGGGTGGGGGCCCTAAAGTAAAATAATGGGGGTGGACCTATTGCCCCCTCCGGCCCCCACCCCTGAGCGGCGGGTGGGGGCCCTAAAGAAAAATAATGGGGGGGACCTATTGTCCTCCCCCCTGGCCCCCACCCCTAAGCGGCAGGTGGGAGCCCTAAAGTAAAATAATGGGGGGGGGACCTATTGTCTTCCCCCTGGCCCCCACCCCTGAGTGGTGGGTGGGGGAGCTAAATTAGAATGAGGGGGGGACCTAATGTCCTCCCCCCTGGGCGGTAGGTGGGGACCCTAAAATACTAATTGGGGGGGACCTATTGTCCTCCCCCCTGACCCCACCCATGAGCGGTGGGTGGGGGCCCTTAATTAGAATGAGGGGGGAGGACCCCCCCAAATTAGTATTTTAGGGCCCCCACCCACCGCTCAGGGGTGGGGGATGGGGGGAGGACATTAGGTCCCCCCAACTAGTATTTTAGGGCCCCCACCCACCGCTCAGGGGTGGGGGCCAGGGGGAGGTCATTAGGTACCCCCTTCATTCCAATTTAGGGCCCCCACCCACCGCTCAGGGGTTGGGGCCTGGGGGTAGGACATTAGGTCCCCCCCATAATTAGTATTTTAGGGCCCCCACCCACCGCTCAGGGGTGGGGGCCAGGGGGAGGTCATTAGGTACCCCCTTCATTCCAATTTAGGGCCCCCACCCACCGCTCAGGGGTTGGGGCCTGGGGGTAGGACATTAGGTCCCCCCCATAATTAGTATTTTAGGGCCCCCACCCACCGCTCAGGGGTGGGGGCCAGGGGGAGGTCATTAGGTCCCCCCCCTAATTAGTATTTTAGGGCCCCCACCCACCGCTCAGGGGTGGGGGCCAGGGGGGAGGACATTAGGTCCTCCCCCCTCATTCTAATTTAGGGCCCCCATCCACCGCTGAGGGGTGCGTGCCAGGGGGGAGGACATGAGGTCCCCCCCAATTAGTATTTAGGGCCCCCACCCACCGCTCATGGGTGGGGGCCATTAGGTCCCCCCTCTTACTTTACTTTCGGGCCCCCACCCGCCACTCATGGGTGGGGGCCGGGGGAGGACAATAGGTCCCCCCCTCTTATTTTACTTTAGGGCGGGGGGGCAATAGGTCCCCCTTCAGGTTAGGAGGGGGGACATTTTTTTTTTTTTTTTACAGTGAGCAGCCACTGGCTGTTTACTAGGCATGCCCCTACTCGCGGTATATTGAGTAGGGGCATAATTTACTAATACTAAGTAATCTTTACTTAGTATTAGTAAATTTGGCTGAAAGACCAATTTAGGTCTTTCAGCCTTTTAGTAGATAGCTCCCTAATACCGTGGGAATTAGGGAGTTATCTACTTATTCATTCCTGTCATTACATGACTGGCTTAGTAACTTACATTTTATATGAATGTGTGTTACTTGATTGTTGTAAGTGTTGCAAATGCTTACAGCTGAATCCTGGCTATGTTTGTATACTTCTTGTAACATTCTTCTTCTTCAACTGGGTAAGTATATTAGTACTTAGGCAATACTGTGCTTCGGTACTTCGGCTCTTCGGAGCTTCGGTAATTCGTCACTTCGGCAGTACCCGAATGTCCGAATTGCCCGAAATTTGTCCGAATTCATATTCAGCCCAAAACGAATTGCACATGTCTAGTCTAAGGTGTTTAGAAAAAGAAGTTGAGAACCCCTCTATTAGAGGGACTTCCAGAATCAAAACAGATCTTTGGTCTGTTATCTGACGTTGGTTGTCCTCACGCTTTGCATGAACAATGCTTTCCTATGGGGAAATCCTAATGCGAGTGTGCCCATTGCCGCGCATGTGCATTAGGTATCCCCCCATCAGTTGCCATTGGTGGGGGAGGAGCATGGGCGAAGCCTGACCCAGCGCTGAGGGACATCGGCCTTGGATTCAGATAAGTGACTGAAGGGGTTTTAACCCCTTCAGCACCGCGGGAGGGGGGCACTGCAGGAGCCTATAGTGCCAGGAAAACGGGTTTGTTTTCCTGGCACTATAGAATTCCTTTGATGGCAACCAGACATTCATCTGATATGTTCCACGTATGCTTAATAATTTGGTAATATGTGGTAATGTGTAAAACAAACTGAGCACAAATGGAGAACTGATTCGTTATAATGAGTACAAACCGTAAATAAAAATACCTATACAAATTGTAACCACATTTAAATCCTACATATAAAATACCAGTATATACATTAAAGTGACAGGGGACTCATGGCATAATAACAACAAATAGGGACACTTTAATTTTAGGGTTCTCAGTGGGACTGTGGTCAGGACTATTCTGATAAATATCAGGTAACATACTAATAACAATTTATGCAACCAAAATGTAACACAACAGGAACATTGTATCTTATTTACACAGACTGATTTCTGAACATATTTATTGACACATTACTGTGACTATGATTATGGTGAAGCTCTGGTACAAATTCAGACACACCAAGACTACTAAGCAGCTCCTATAAAATAGGTATAGGATAGAAAAGAGGGACTATACCTCCTCAATAGGGAAACTTGGCAGGTATGTGACAAAACCCTTGAACCTTGTGTACTCCACCCCTGTAAGTTAGAGCACACTGTTCATATGATATATTCAATACATAACATCAACATGGAAAATGAGTTATCTAGGAGCCAGCTGGGTCTGGGTTTGGTAAGAATGGGGGGAAAGTGTTAATGAGGAGACTGAGAAAAATGGAGCATATATAATATATCCCTCCCAGTATTCCAACTATTGTGCAATATGACCCCCATAACACTCAGCCACCAAGAGCCACCAACTATCCTGTCAATGTCATGCAGGCATAGCCAAGCCAGCTAAAACATGGGGTCCTAGCCCGTGACGTAATCAGTATGCGCCAGTCCGTGCTCTTGCAGGGGACATGTGTTTGTGTTGATGATGTCCAGGCTCCTGTCTGAGTGACAGCTAGGACGTCGCTCTCAGTCTGTGCTATGGTTTCTTGTTTGGTGGTTCTGTAACTATGTATTTCAGCCGGTTCCCGAGGCTGGCCAGGTGCTACCTGCAGCCAGTGGGCCGGGGATTGCAGCTTGCTGCGGACTCCAGGGCTCCAGCCCTCCTATGGGTGTCCAGGTGGCCTGGGATCCGGGCAGGCTGCAGGGCTCTCTCCAGTGACTCCAGCAAACCCCCGGATACCTCTCTATTTCATCCAGTGCAACTCAGAGTCACAGAGAGCAGTGACTCTGACATTGGGGCAGAACTCACCCAGACCCTGAATAAGAGTAAGATCTCATAAACTTATATTAATTCAGATTATTTTATTATTTTTGAAACATGGTTATACATTTCTCTGCTAATTATAACAATATAAAAGTGATTATGTTAATAACAAATATAGTGATTACGAAGTTACTGCATTATTGTTTGAGCTTATGAGATTATGTAAACAGTCAGCATTAAAAATGCTTTGTGTCCTTTTAACCCCTTAAGGACACATGACATGTCAGAATTCCTTTTTATTCCAGAAGTTTGGTCCTTAAGGGGTTAAATAGGGCAGTGTTTAATGATGATGTAACTGTATAGCTGCACTGCTATTAAATATCTACAAAAAGGGGAAAAAAAAGACACCTGTGTTTAAAGTAAATTTTGCGTTAGGAGAGCCCAGTATTCTCAGCCAGATCTAGGTTGGACAGAATTGACTTTGATGCCACATTATAAATGTGGGCACAGTAGTCTCTGGACACCACGCGTTGTGGCAGTTGTTGATAAGCGGAATGGGGACTGTACCTCCCTTTATTCTGAGCAAAGTAATGTCAGTGTATCTTGGAGGTATCTCTCCTAAGTCCCCACCTTTTTTTTTTTTCAACAGTTTTTTTGTGTTCTGGTGTAATGATGGTGTGAAGGTTTGTGGGAAATGCCGATACATTGCGTTATTAACAAAAAAAGAATGTTTGTGTGCAGTTGTATAAATAGTCTTGCTCTGGTACTTATAACTCATTTTCTATTTTCATAGGTGAGGTGCTGAAAGTGTTAAACAAGTTCTATAAAAGAAAGGAAGTACAGAGGTTGGGATCAGAAAATGGTCTGGATGGTAAGAACCTTAATCATTATGGTTTTTGTAGTTTCAGTGAAAATGTAATACATTTTACAATGTTTAGCCCCAGCAGTTGGTTGTTATTCACTAAATTGTAAAATGTTAGGCATTCACCAGGAGATTGCATATATAAGGACAAAATAGCCCATAACATTGTCCAAAAAAGGGTTGTCTTTCATGTTTACTTAATTACTTTGTGAATTCCTGGAAACCCTGCCACAGATCTGTGAAATTCCTAGCCTGTACTATTGTCATTTTGAGTAAATTGTTAACTGACATCTATAATGTAACACTACCAAGCATAAGCACTAAAGCGGCGCTCATCACCTCCACTACATCTGACAAAGAGTCAGAAGCTCCTGCTTAGGAGCTTGTGTTGGCTCTTTTGAGCTTAGACTTGGCTCAGACAGAGAAGTTCCGGCTGTCTGTCTGATGTTGTGGAGGCACAGAGTGGCACCTGACGGATCCAGGTAATTAAACCATTCTAAAGGTGGGATCTTGCTGAGCAAGATAAAAGCTGCAGTCTAGCACAGGCAGGAATGTGATGGGACATAAATTCTTAGGTGCATAGGTAAAAAAACTGAACTAATTTATGTCTGTTGTTTTTCATCAAGTAGGGTTAAACTGAGAAGTTGGAGCTTTGACATTCTGTGTTTACCTTACCCACCCATGAGCAGCATGTCTAAGGCATCTGTTGTTAAACATACTGTGTGTGCTGACACTAGACGCCAATCTAGCACAAGACAGATATTGCACAATATCGGTTTTGTGCACATTGCTGGTATCCCAACTGGGAAATTGACAGCCCAGGGAGGCGTCCTTACACAAAATAAGAAAGGTTTTATCTATGGAATGATACTCTTTTTTTTAAAATGATAGGCAACAGGGACAGAGTCTCCGCACCATGAACTAAAATTAAGTGGTTATGGTGCTTACAATTTCCCTGTAGGTTTACATAGAACATGGGAAAGAATAAAATATCAAAATAAATCCATATAATTTTATACACAAGTACATGGAAAGGAAAAAAGGAACATTGAGATTTTAGAGTTTATGGCCAACGGTCCTATTTTCCACTGTGCCAACAAATTAACACGTTTCTAATCTCCTTTCGATCACAGCTCGTCTCTTCCACCAAGCTTTTATAAGCTTCCGAAAACATGTCTTGGAGACAGACCCGTTACAAGTGGAACTGCACATTATTCTCAATGACATTTGTGCTGGGGTCGGTAAGTGATCACGTTGTTTTAGAATCCATACAATTTTTTGCCAACAATGTATAGAGTACTTTACTCCAGAAAAAACATTAGCAGGCATTTGTAAAGACAAACTCTAATGGTGGACCAATCTGGGGGAACATTCTGTTGGTTTCCTTAGTGACAGCCCCACTTATGAAACTTTGCTCCAGAATTATCCACTCAGGGGATTATGAATCTTGAAAAAGTTCCATAGGGTTAACCATGTAGGCTTTCTAAACGAGCGTTCATAACTTTGTGTTTCTCCAGAATTCATTGATCTTATTAGATATGCACACATGCAAGGTAATATTTACAAATACACATTGAATCAAATAGCCTGTTTTAAACAAATATGTGTGTGTAAATAAGTGGACTCTCTAAGTACCACAATCAGTACAGATTATTGCTGACGAGGTCTTGGTGCGAAGCGTTCTCCTCTCCAGTCTTTCTTTTTTTAAACACTGAATTTTCTATAAAAAGGAAAAGTTAATTTTTTTTCTCTTAAAGACAGCTCTGAGACTGCCACTACAGGTTCTTCCTTTTATGATCCTCACACTCGAATGTTTAAACACTTGCCATAGAGAAGCATTGGTATAATGCACCTGAAAGAGGAGATGTTGATTGGCACTGTGCGGCAGTTGTTGTGCATGCACAGTAGACTCCTCAATACTTCTCTGTGGAGAATCATCGAATTGGCTAAAATCATCAGTAATAATGAACTCAACCAAGGGGGGTGCAGAGGCTTCGGCAAGACTGGAGCAGAGTGGAGTAAGAGGCAAGTCAATCTTCTATGGCGTCTTCTTCTTAAAGGGAAGCCGGCCATAAATCTAAAAAAGCAGGAAGGAACTTTTTTTAACAGGATTATTCAATAAAGTGTAAATTGTCAGCCCTTCAAAGTGAATTTCAAATTTAAGGCCAAAGTAGATGCAGTGGAAATATTTCCCAAGTCCGTTATGCTTCCACGTGAATTTTTTTTTTTTTTATTATAAAATATATATATATATTTTTTTTATTTTATTTTTTAAATGTAATTTCCTGTAGAGTTAAAAATAAGGCTTCAGATGTAACCATATGCTGAATTAGAAAATCTGGGAGTTGCATGTGGTGCCTCTAGATAAATAGTGAAATGTACAGGGGAGATATGCAGTGGCTTTAACCCCTTAAGGACCAAACTTCTGGAATAAAAGGGAATCATGACATGTCACACATGTCATGTGTCCTTAAGGGGTTAAAATGGTATGCCATTTCTTCGCATATATATTTCATACAACCTCAGGGCTCAAACTTTCCACTGTCACTAGCCAATGATGCGTGAAAATTCAGCATTGGCGAGTAGAAATTCACCCATTGTTAGTGACATGGATCTCCAAGAATTGCAGTGACAAGTAACCTTTTAGGCATCGCTTGTAGCTTAGGACTTACATTTTGAGCCTTGTTGTAAATACATTTACTGCGTAGAAGTTATATTATTGAGTTTTGTAGGTATGTTTATCTGCTGGTACAGTAATGAAAGTGACTGTCACACCATTGTAAGTTACATTGTACTTTATTTTCCATTTCCTAGGCCATGTGGATGACCTTTTTCCGTTTTTCATGAGGTATGCAAAGCAAATCTTCCCAATGCTGGATTGCATGGATGATCTCCGAAGAATCAGTGACTTAAGGTTACCCCCTAATTGGTAAGCTGTGAGCTGTTTTCCAGAGTTTAATCTTGTCGACTACAGACTGTGTTGAATAAATCCCATGCTACAGGTGGCCATAACACTGAAAATGCATGCTTTTTGTGCTCTATTATTTTAATACTTTCCAACCCTTATAGGAATACAAGCATTGCATAGTATCCTACTATTTAGATAATCATCGTCCCGTCTCCCTATCTGAGATCATCAATCTTGATGATCTCAGCCGCGTGTGTAGGATATTGCAGGACAGAACCCAGAGAGTCATTCTACTGCCCCTGGAGCAGGTCATAGGCAGCAATGTAAACATTGCCAGAATGACTCCCTTAACCCCTTAAGGACCAAACTTCTGTAATAAAAGGGAATCATGACATGTCCTTAAGGGGTTAAGCTGCAGTGGTTCTGGTGCCTGTAGTGTTCCTTTGAATAAATATATATATATATATATATTTATGCTGTATTACCTGCTGCACTGCTAGATTGTATACCGGATATGAAATCATATGTTATAATAATTCACAAACCCAGGGAATTGTCAATAATTTATCTATGGATTTTTGTGTAAATAATATAATTGTATTTCATGATGTTGAACTTCTTTAGCGATCTGAGGATAGTGATACAGTTAAAGTTTGCAGTGAGCGCAAGGCCTATGCTGCCTTGTATATATGACATCTAGCACTGAAACATATATTGCGAGAAAATGTTACCACTGAGGGATTTTGAAGACATCATAAAAAGCCACAAAACTGAAGGTTGGGGTGTTTATGGATGCATCCATATCTGAGATGACCTTAAAGGGGAAACAAAATTATTTTTGTTTGTTTCCCCAAACCTGTGTCCCAACAACCCACCTGTTATGGAATGCATTTCTCACCACATGTCAAACACTGAGAGAGTTATTCATTAAGTGAATAATTTTTGGGAATTCAAAGTGAATTTCAGAATAAGCCCAAAGTAGCTGAGCTGGAAAATGTCTCCTAGTCAGCTATGCATCTAGTTTGGCCTTCAATTTAAAATCCCCTTGAAATTCCCAACAGTTCTCACTTTAGTTGATAACCCAGTGAGACATTAATGCTTGCTTATAGGGAGGTGATTACTAAGGCAGTATAACACTCCTTCAATCTCTTCTCCAATGGGGAAATCCTGAAACTAGTAATTTCATAGGAGTCAACTTGTGTTTTTTTTAGCACACCAACAACAGAAACGATCAGTATTACCAATTTTACTCTAATGGGTGTTCGGACCTCCTATCCGTTTATTACCCCATATCAGATACAAGTACAGTTTCTATAGGCATACAGATTTTTTTTTTTTGTTAAAGAAATTACAATAAAAAGGACGAAGAAAGCCCAGAATGTATATTTGATGCTTTAGGGGTGTATTTCAGAATAGATGTACGCGCACATGCCGTGTCCTCATAATTTGTTTGCTACTTTTAGATGTATACATTACACACTTGATGAAACCATTTTTGGACGGCATTTTTCAGGATGTCTGATCACTAATTAGAAAGGTTTATTTTGTTAACACTACTTTAATAACTTGTATTGTGGAATTTTACAGTTTGGTATATTTTTTCTGTTTGTTTTTTTGCGTAGGTATCCTGAAGCCAGAGCTATACAGCGGAAGATCATTTTTCACTCAGGACCTACCAATAGTGGCAAAACGTACCATGCTATTCAAAGATACCTATCTGCAAAGTCCGGCGTCTATTGTGGGCCATTAAAACTTCTTGCCCATGAGATATATCAGAAAACTAATGACGCAGTAAGTGACATTTGTTGCCTTACAGTTTGCATACTATCCCTCTCTGTGTCCGTTTATCCTGTTAATATTAAACGGAATTATCCATCCACAAAAACCTGAGGATGATGAGTTCACCAGTGCTGCAGTAGGAGAGATCTGAGTATGTCCTCTAATAAGAAAGTGTTCTTGTGTTTTTTTTTTTTTTTTTTTATGGGGTAGATGTGACAAAGAAGGCATATTTATGGTGCATACCATTTGTTTAGTATTATTATTAGTAGCAGTAATAACATTAAATTATTGTTTTCCAAAAATGTAAAACATTTGAACAGGCATATTAATGAGACCAAAACGTATCAAATCAATTCATGTTTTTATTGACGCCCAGAGTGTTCCTTTAAATTGTCCTATGTTTCTGATACTTGTCTGAATATGGAAACCAGAATTTAGCATTTCTAGTTTCTTGGCCTTGATCGAATGATTTCTTTATTTTGGTATTGTAGTTATTAGTAATTATCCAGTGTGTGTGGAACATACATTTTCCACAAGTGAATTAATTGTTATTAGTGTGTATTTTTGTGTCTGTGATTTATGTGCAATGCATATGAAGTACATTTGTGGTTGCCTTTTAAAGTTTTTTTTTTTTTTTTTTTATCCGTTTCTTTCTTCTAGTTTGATTTTGGTAGCAAACTTTATCAGAGTTTATGAAGAAATGTGCTTTACATTTTTTATATGTATTTCTCCCCTCTCCCTTGCTCTTCTTGCAAATCTATACATCCAACCTGTAGAGTTTTCACATACATTAAGTTCTTGTTTTATTATTTACTCTTGCATTTCTTTTTTAGGGCGTACCTTGTGATCTAATAACAGGAGAAGAGCTGGTATACGTAGATCCAGAAGGAAGGCCGTCAGCACATGCAGCTTGCACCATAGAGATGTGCAGTGTGAATGCACCTTGTACGTATTCTACTTATGTATAAATTCCTCTTCATTTTCTCATTGCTCCATTAGTTACAGGAAATACAAAGAATTTAATGTGTGCCTGTCAAGCAACTGCTGCATGGCAGTGTTTTGTATAGCATTCTCTATATACGCTGGTCCATGTGCAAATAGTATGATAGTACTATATTTAACTCTTAAGTGTTTAGTGATAATAAAACCATTTCCACTTAACTATATTTTAACCCTAGTATGTTCTGATAGTTTCTCTAAAAAAAAAACTCAAAAAAAACCCCCTTCAAATTCACCTGTAATCCAGCACTGAGACAGTCTCCTCTCGGCAGTCACACCGCTCCCTGTTGAGATGTTCCTGACAGATGGTCTCGTCCAGTCCATTGCTTCTCAGAGGCATTTGCACCTTATCGTGTATGCACTGCAATTGCTGCATCCTGTCAATCAATTGCTTCCCTGTGAAAAGCATTCACAGGATTTGGCAGCATCATTCTGGGCAGTCAGTCTAACAGCTGAATGTAACCATTGCCAAACTGCAGGAACCAGGTCAGTGCACCAAAGTCACTTCATTAATATAATGTGATTTTGGTGCTTAGTGTCCCCTTTGATAAAGATGATGCACAGCCCCTCTCAAAATATGTGCCAAGTGCCTAATGAGGTACTCAGACTTAAAATAAAAAACAATTGTACAAAAGGTTTGGAGTAATCCTTTCAAGGACCCTTAAAGGCAACCAGACCACTTTAACTCAATGGTGGTCTGGGTGCAGTGGACCTGGAGTTGTAGAAATTGCAATGTTTCCATTGCAGGATTACACACATTGTTTTCCTGACAACTAATAGAGGCATTACTGCAGATACAGCCAAGTAAACCCAGGTCATGTGACCAAGGCAGCTGCTAGGAAAGCATTGAGGTCAATGCTTTCCTACGAGAAGCATTTGGATACGCATCAGTCTCCAGTTCTCCTCTATGAGAAGCATTGGATCAGCCATCGCAGAGAGATCCAGATGATGTTGCAAAAGGAATAGTGGTTTTTAGATTTTTACAGCTCATGGGAGGGAGTAGGGAGGACCTAAAACTAATCTGACACTAGGACATTATACCATTAGCAATACAGGTTTATATTTCTAACGCTATAGCGTTCCTTCAACCTAGTTAGTTTTCTGCTTTATTATTCATTACACACCAACTACATCAAATGCATGAATACATATATTATTTTTTATTTTTGGTTTGTTTGTCTTCAGAGAATTTGTTTATGAAGTTTCTTTCCTTTCTCTCTTAAGATGAAGTGGCTGTCATAGACGAAATCCAGATGATCAGAGATCCTTCCCGAGGCTGGGCCTGGACAAGAGCACTTTTAGGTAAAATACTACTTTTGCACATTTGTCGTTTTCTTCTACTTTTTGAGTATTCTGAAATATAAATTGACGTACAGTGCCATATGTCGCCTGTGAAGGCAGTTAAACATGTTGTGCATGTAACCTTTCCAGTTTGATAAGAGGACATTAAATAATTAAAATGTGCTGATGCATTTCACTTTAATGCTGTTCATAATAATGAATTGAGTTTTTTGTTTTAGGTTTATGTGCAGATGAAATTCATGTATGTGGAGAAGCTGCTGCTATTAACCTGGTGACAGAGCTGATGTTTACAACTGGAGAGGAAGTAGAGGTAGGGTTTACTATTTCTGTGCAATCACCGTCTGCAGGGCATCACTCCTCATTGCATTAGATTAGGGTTTCTCTGACAAGAACGGACTAATGCTAAAATCTCATAAAATCTGATTGCGTCTAAATCCGTATGACACCCAGAGTCCTTAAAATATTACCATACTTGTTGAAAAATTGGAAATAAGAGACATCCCCATCTAATCTAAGCTACCTGCTTTTTTCGTATTAACTTTTTCTCAATTATCTTTATTAATTACGAATGTCAGTTCTTGAGTTTTAAAAAAAAAAACCCTGGAAATGCAGCATCCCAGCTTCCTAATCGTGATATATATATATATATATATATATATATATATATATAGTGTATTTTTTAATATAGACAGTTATGTAAAATTAAGGATCCATATTTTTTTTGTAAACCTTAGAGTTCAATATAAAATATTCCAAAAACAAATTTTGCAGGCAGCGTGGCACCTAGAATTTGGTCACCAATGCATGCAAGTACATGTCTGTTAGCCGATGATAGGTAAAGGAATCTACATGCTATATACTGGGTGACCTAGTAACTTTTTATATCTAGACTAGTATGTTTTTATTCTGACTAGTATGGCTTTGTGATAACTATTTTCAGGACCCAGAATGAAGCGGCATGTTATGACAACTTTAATTGCCGACTAAAAATAACAAATTTTTACCCTGTGCCATATAATTGTATTACTGAAGACACAATGCATAAAGAATATTATCCCAGTCTATGTGATACATCTTCAGTCTGCCAGATGTAAAATATTAATAGAAAGCAATGATGTTGTGTTAATAACACTTTATCTAAATTTAAAGTATTTTAGGAAAAGGATACCAAGAGCTTGAAAACTATAGCAGAAAAAAAAAACCTATTTCAAATTTTTTTTTTCAAGAACATGTTTTATGATTGAACATAAGAAGATAAGATGCTATTTTCTAGGTGCACACGTACGACAGGCTAACTCCTCTTAAGGTATTGGACCATGCTGTAGAAAGCCTGGAAAATCTTCGCCCTGGAGATTGCATAGTGTGCTTCAATAAGAATGATATCTACTCTGTGAGTCGGAAGATTGAAATCCAAGGGTTAGAGTGCGCTGTAATATACGGAAGCCTGCCTCCAGGTGAGATCAGCCTTTCCTTGAACATTGTCTATTGTAATAATTAGTAACTGAATATAATGGAACTTTTCTTAATTTAGCATCATGGTGGTTTTTTTTTTTTTTTTTAACTAAAGTGTGAATAGTTGGGAAAGTGACCGTTTACATTTTTGGCCAAAATAATAGGAATTAAAATGTAGCATATTTTGTTGTTGTTTTTTCCCTTTTCCTATTCAGCCATTGTGACTTAAAAGTTTAAATTCAGAAAAAAATAAATCACATTTTCATAAGTACCCATGTGAATGTGTGTAAGCCCAACCTTCCCATTGAAGTTTCCCATTGGGTGAAAATTAAAATCCACCAATATTTAAAATCTATATTGGCAAATCAAAATGTAGAATTACAGGGAAGTTGCTGATTGTCTCCCAGGATTCTATTGTGAAGGAAGTGCAAATGCAGTGAAAATCCAATGCGCTTAATAAAATTAACAGGAGGCTCTGTTATTTAATTCAGTTTCAATAAAAACAGTTGAATAGATCAAAACATTATTAACATAAAATACAGGTCGTCTTTGCTGTCAATCTGATTTTTGTTTTTTATGTTATGTGAAATACAGATAATACACAGCCACGTTTGCCAGAGTAAAAATAGACTGAAAAAAACCAGTTGCCGTAATATAGTTTTTGGTGGAAATAAATGCAAAGTAAAATACTACATTTTAAAATGAAAGAAATTAACTTTTTAAACATTGATATAGACTGTCCTTACAGATCATTATCATAATGTTTCTGATTACCAATTCACTAAACTCAAATTTGTAGAGAATTATCCACATGTAACACTTGGTGGAATGAAAAAAATAGCTAATTTGGAAATATTCTCCATCTTGTCTGCCAGAGCAGCTTAGTTATTTTACCATTTGGATGTTAATTTTCTTCAGTTTGATAAGGAACCCTGCATATTTGCCAACTTATATAGAGCACATCTTGAGCAAAAAAAACAACAATTTTTTTTGTCCTAACATGAAAAGCTGGAAAGTAAGTTTGCGCAAAGTTTACACATTCACACCTTCTCTGTCTTGTGCTTGAAGTTGGCATGGATTGTCCAATGACGAAGATGTATTTATTTTGTAGGGACTAAACTCGCACAAGCAAAAAAATTCAATGATCCCGATGATCCTTGTAAAATCCTGGTTGCCACAGATGCCATTGGAATGGGGCTTAATTTGTGAGTGTGGAAATAGTTTTATTATTTTTTATCTTTTTCCAACCACATTTACAGCACAATTTCTTTATCTTCACAATGCTCTACGGGTGTAACGATCTCACCTCCATAACAACTTTACCGAAACTTATCACTGGCCGTCCATTGAGAGTCATAGTGTGTGCTATTACTATCAATATCCTGTCAGCCCAGCACTCCCTCTGATAACTGCAGCAGCCGGAGCATGGAAGAGAGGAGGCAAAAAAAGGTCAGGTGCTGGGGCACCAACTTCAGAGATAAACAGCCTTTCCACTGAAGGAAAAACAGCACCCAGATATTCTTGCCTCCATAACTTCCTAGATGTTAAGTTGTTATGAGATGGGAGTGTTCGTTTAAGACAGAGATCTATACCCCATGCACTAGCTTCTCAGTTTTGCAAAACGTGAGGTGGATATGTGATCTTTACTGAACATGACGCTCTAGTGAACAACTAGGGCTCTGGTGAATTGGGAACCCTTAGAAATTAGTTCCTCTACTATACTTGCAGAGGGAACAGAATTCTAGTAGATTTTACTGTGAAAGGATGAGGACTGTTTACAGTACACACGCATTCATATAGCGCATTGGGTGGTTTTAGAATTGTGCAGCTTTTAATTACAGAGAGCTCGATGTATAATCCAGAGTTTTTTCCCTTCACACAAATCCAACACATTTTGTCAGATTAGCATGTTGTTGAGGTGGAGTGTCGTATTAACAGGCAGAGCTTCAGTTTCCAGTGAGTTATAAATGTTATTTTCGTACATGTGATGTATATGTACTTCTGTACAAATTTATTTTAATTGCACCATTTAGAACGTTGTCTGTCAGACATACAGCTATCACTCAGACACACAGCTGACAGACATAAATGAGATAGGGAGCTTTTACATACATTAGACCTGTAATTTCCCCAAAATGGTCTGTTCATTTGAAACTGCATGTGCTGGATGTCATCCCTTGAAGTTTGTATGTGATGGTCCTGTATGTGAACCATCTACTGACTTATCACAATGAATGTTGTATTTAATTCGGTCCATTCTACCCGCCAACAAAAATATAGTGAATAAGGCCTGCAAAATATATGTATATCTCAGGACATACTTGAAAATGAGAAAAATCTCAATGTATCCTTCCTGGTAAATATTCAGTTAATATATATATCTGTGTGTGTGCAGGCCTTCTTCCCAATATTTATTTTTATGTATAATATTATATATATATTTTTTTCCTTCCTTTTAGGAGTATAAAAAGAATCATATTTAATTCCCTGGTGAAGCCAAACGTTAATGAGAAGGGTGAGCGAGAGATCGATACCATTTCTACCTCTCAGGCCTTACAGATAGCAGGCCGTGCTGGTAGATTCAGTTCGATGTTTAAAGATGGAGAAGTCACTACTTTGTACCGAGAGGATTTATCTCTGCTGAAGGAAATACTGCGCAAACCAGTCGTTGACATTGAGGTAAATTGTTTCTGTCATGTCCTAGACATTCCACAATGAACAGTACACAATTATACCTCTCTGGAAGTCACATGCAGTCTGAGATAATGGGGAAGACTCACTTCAGTTTGGATGGTATTGATTGGCTTTGAACACTTGGCTTACCTTGCCAGTGCTCATATCTTATTGCTACCACCCAAATTAGAATTGGTTTTGTACAGATAACGTGGAAGTGCCAGGAGAGGGTCCATGCTTTGGGTGCTGCGACATCGCTGTTTTTGTAGGCTCTGAAACCAAAAAAAAAAAAAACTTTTTAAAAACAAACAGGGACATTTTGCACTATAGCATTTTGTAATAAGCTAAAGTGGTTATTGTGTTTAGTGTCTCTTTTTAAAAGGAACACTCCAATTAAATTAATAGAAAAATAATGATGACACACTTAAGAGAAGGAGGATTATCATTTCCTAATATTCAGTTAATTCATAATTCAGTAATGTTTTTCCCATTTCTTGAAATGGGGTAATGAAAAATCTAGAGATAAAACATGGTACAAGATAGAGAAGGAACAGTGTGTAGGAATTGATCCCTTGCTTTTTCTTTGGCTGGACAACAATGTTCATAAATTTAAGAATCGATCATTTTACAAATGTTTAAATCAATTAATCCAATAAAAAAACTATACTTGGCTCATAATCAAATTCTTTCTAAAGCACCTCTAGAAACGACTAAACTATTTATAAGAGACCTTGATTTAACAGAGTGGCTAAGAAAAAATATCGTAAAAATTGGCCAACTAGGATCTAATATTTCTCCTAATACTTTTTATGAACTCCAACAGAAATGCGATCTGTCTAATAAAGAAATATTTGTCAACTTGTATGGATCGCAGCCTTTAAGATCATCCAAGATCAGACAGATCATTAACAAATCTACCCCAGAAATAAAAATAAATACTATCCTAAAATGGGCAGACCTAGATTTTACCACCCCTCACCACTTATGGACAGAGTCTATAGACTATCTCAAAAAGTCAGTACATTGTATAAATATCTTAGAAAATTCATATAAAATTCTAAATAGATGGTACCTAGTCCCTTCCAGACTATGTAAATTTAAGCCTCAATATACAAATCTTTGTTGGAGATGTAATGGGGAAGTGGGAACTCTAAAACATATATGGTGGGACTGCTCAAACTTAAATTCGATAAAAGACTTTGTACTACACCTTTCAAAAGAATTAGACCTAAAGATATCAGATTTGACTATTGAGAACTTTCTCTTCCATATAAATATTAAAGGTCTAAGGAAATATGAAAAATACCTAATGATAGACGTACTAATGGCAATAAAGTTTTGTATCTCAAGATATTGGAAGAATACAAATATTCCGTCTGTAACAGAAATTTTTGCTGAAATTAACCATCAAGAAGTTATGGAAAAAGCGGGGTTTTTTTTTTTTTTTTTTTAATAACAATAATATTTTGAAATACAATAAAATTTGGTCCAGATGGTTTGAATACTATAACAGGTTTGATCGATTTTGAGCTATCCAACTGGGCTTGAAAGGTAAACTTATAGTCGCGTCTGATTTAGTTCATGATCAATCATAATTATTTAACACTACTAAACGATATTCTTCTCCCTTCGCCCCCTCAGCGTGCTAGGGGGTCCCCCGTTCCCCCTTGGCAGATGGTATCTAAGGCACATTATATCCATGTTCTGTTGCCTATTTTGTATTTCATGTGTGCATGGTTCTGTGTAGCCTCTATGATAATGAGAAGCATAACAAGAACAACTATTAAAGTCCCTCCTTGTTTTAGGAACTTGGAGGAACCGTAGTCATATAGCCTACTCTTATTTTAAAAAGTGACAAATAATAATTTGTACATTGCCATTATTGTATGTATAGGCAGTTATTCATGTCATGTAATCATTAATGTATCTCCCTAGTGCCCAGTAACATGGCGGCGACACGCTCGAAATAATAAAACTTGTTGGAGGGGCGGCCGCCTAATTTGCCTGGCCCTGATTAACTGTGTGATCCTTTGTTTCAGACTGCAGGACTGCACCCTACTGCTGAGCAGATAGAAATGTTTGCGTATCATCTACCAGAAGCCACCCTCTCTAATTTAATAGTAAGTATAGGAACGGTAGATTTTTTAATTGCATATTAGCACAGATCATGGCCATCTCTTTACGCGTGTGTATCGCTTGTGCAAAACAAAGTGTTTGGTTTACTCACTTATTTCCTATTGTGGCACTCTGAACATCTTTTTCAGCAAAAATCTATTTTGCTGATATTTTCCCCCCCATAGACCTCAACAAGGATAATGTACAGTCCCCCCTAATCCTCTGTTTGATTCCTCTTTCTGAAACTAAGGAATGATTGAATAAGGTGTATTCTGTAAATGAAAGCTTCGCTGTTTAACTGATGTGCCTTGATTAGTAACCTACAAATTTGGGATCCCATAGGATCAAGTAGAAAATAGAACATTCATATGGGCAGATTTTCAGCTGCTGATTTTATTTGTAGTAGGAAATAATCAGATATGCAGTTTTTCACTCTGCCTTTTCTCTCCAATTCACAGGACATTTTTGTAAGCCTTTCTCAGGTGGACGGACGTTATTTTGTGTGCAATATAGAGGACTTTAAATTCGTAGCCGACATGATCCAGCACATTCCATTAAACCTAAGAGTTCGATATGTGTTCTGCACAGCACCAATCAATCGTAAACAACCCTTTGTGTGTACGTCGCTTCTCAAGGTGAGCAATGTGGTCAAATCAATTCATTATCATTAAAAAAAAAAAAAAAAAAGTGACAATTTCGCTTTATCTGGCTGAGCAGCGAAGTTGGGTCAGATTATACTTTGATCTCTCTAACTGCTGATCACACACACTTATAATATACATTTTAAAATATCAAGTTCCATTAAATGTAATAAACTTTTAAAAATGAGAAGTGATAATATGATGACGGTTATCCTTTAACGGAAACTTCACTTCTCCATTTTAGCGAAACCAGTAGCAAACTTTTATTTATTTTCAATTCTTAATTATATTTCTTTAAAATTACAAGCCTTGCCAGGCAAACCCTGCAGGGCCGTATGTATGGAGCTTGTGCATGGACGGCACTATTGGGTAAAATGTACAGTAATTCACCATTAGGCAGCAGGGGGCGGAGAAGTTTACCCAACACGGAACTGCTGTGTCGATAAGTTTGCTTTTGTCTTCCTTCCCCATCTACACTGGGTAGAGGAGGGACAATAAAGTTGTCCTGATATTTTAGCAGCTTTTTCATATTTTGCATGTCTTCTGACTTTACGAAATGTAAAAATTATAGAGGTAGTTTTAATTGTTTACTAAAATTGCAAATGGTTTGCCTTTCTCGTATTTTTTTTTTTTTTTTTTTAAACTGGATTTAGCATGGATTTCCCCCCAAAATTAAATAAATTCAAAATGTATGTTTTTTCCCCCCCCCTACTTGTACCTGATTAGTTGCACTCTGTGTTTTCATAATAGTTACTGTTCTTTCCTTCTAGTTTGCCAGACAGTACAGCAAGAACGAGCCTTTAACATTTGATTGGATTTGCCGGCATGTTAATTGGCCGGTCGCATGTCCGAAGACCATCAGGGATTTGGTGCATCTGGAATCTGTTCATGATGTTCTGGATCTTTATCTCTGGTTAAGGTGAGTTTTATAGCGTTGTTATTAAAATGAATATTCTTCATAAACACCGTTTACTTTACCAAAATGTTGGATGTTTTATAGTGAGACTTAAAAGCAGTCAGGAAATTAGTCAGTGACAATGACTCCGTTCTCCAGCAGTAAGAGATAAATAATACCCCTTTAAGTAGATATGGTAGAAAATAACAGTAGAAACGTATAATGGAATACTGCAAACACCATAATCACTACAACCTATTTAGTACTATTGGACAATTTAATGGGACCTTGCTTGGCAACCATGGCTGCACACCCTGTTTCTGGTCATGTGTAGCTCTACAGATAGTACCTGTAGTCCTGGAGCCTCAAATAAGTTGTCAAACCATACAAAATCGGTTTGACTACGTGACATGGAATAACAGCAGGCTGCAGTGGTTATGGTGCTTGCAGTTTTAATGTAACATGGCTTGGGAACAGTTAGACTGCTGTCCTTACTCGTGAAGATAGTAGGTAAACTAACAAATATAGTCCATCTTGACTATAAAAAATCCAATTCCGTAAGGGATACTTTATTTTCCATTAGAACTTAAATGGGCCTGTGATGCTTAAAGGGACACTATAGTCACCAAAACAACTTTAGGTTAATGATGAAGTTTTGTGCATTGATCAATTCACTGAAGTTTAACTACTCAATTCTCTGCCATTTAGGAGTTAAATCACTTATTTCTGTTTGTGCAGCCCTAGCCACACCTCCCCTGGATGTGACTGACACATCCTGCATAAAAACACATGGTTTCATTTCAATCAGATGTTACGTACTTTAAATGTTTTTATCTCCTGCTTTGTGAACTGAACTTTAATTATATATAGGAGGCTTTTGCGGGGTCTGGCAAGATATTAACAGAGCAGGAGATATATTTTTTTTTAAATCAAACAATCTGTAACAAAGGGAGTGTAAACACTAGATCTCTTTACAGGAAGTGTTTAGGAAGGCTGTGAAAGTCACATGCAGGGAGGTGTGAGTAGGGCTGTATAAACAAAGTGATTGCAGGGTCATGATCTATATAATATAACTGCTTAATTAAGCTAAAACTGTTTTGGTGACTATAGTGTCCCCTTGAAAAGTTACCCCAAGCACCATGACCACTTCAGTGATTTGAAGTGGTCATGGATTCTGTATGTAAGCGTTTAGCTGTGGACCGCTGCCTGTATGTGGTTTAACCCCTCTGCTGCCAGATATAAAGTAATTAGAGAAAATGTGACCAAGCAGAATCAGTTCATCATGGGGTTTGAGCAAGGCAGCATTAGTGTAAATTGCAAACATAATTTTTGCAGTTCTGTTTTTAGATCACGACTATTTGTCGTTTAGTGAATAAATGCCACACAAGTTATTCAGTAGAATTGTGGATTGTCAGGAATTCACAAAGAATCCAAAGGAAATATCATGCTTTTAAGCCTACATAGCTGAACTGAAAAAAAATCGCTGATTTGCACATCCTCCCCTCCCCCCCCCCCTAATTTTGCTATTGTTGCCTAAAACTTGAAATTTACTTTAAGTAAGTGTAGAGGAGAAACCCTATCATGAATACAGGCTGTTCCTGTGCCAGTACTCCGGCAACCAGAAAGTTGGACACATAGTAAAACACTGCTTATATGGAATTTCAATTTGTGTTAAGTTTTATTGCATTATTTGTCCAGAACATGTCGCACGAAATTTGGCGAATGCTGGTTATCTCCTTACTCACATTTGTCGTTCAAAACTCTGGTATAGATGTGATATGAAGGAATCTTCTATCTGGTGAGGGAGATTACTAAAAGATAATGGCAAGCAGTAGAATTGTTGGTGAATTTAAAGGGAAATTATTGTGCCGGCAAAACAAGTTGTTTTCCTGGCACTAACTTCCTATAATGCCCCCTTCCTCGTGGCACCCCTCCCTTCTGTCACTTGCCTGATTCCAGTGCTGGTTCAGGTTCTTCCTCTGCCATCGGCCAGTACCTAATGTGTGTCTGCACGCCTCGCTCGCATTAGGTCTTCCCCCATTGTGTAATGCTTTCCTATGGGGTTTTGGGTGACGCTGGATGTCTTCATGCACACAATGAGGACGTCCAGCGCCAGTTAAGCAACCAAAAGTCATGTAACCACCCGGAAGTCCCTCTAGTGGCTGTCTGGTAACCAAAGACATTATTGCAGTTTATCAATAACTGCAATAATTACCACTGCAGGGTTAAGGAAACTGGGACACTGCACCCAGACCACTTCAATGAGCTGAAATGGTCTGGGTGCCTATAGTGTCCCTTTAAGCATTACACTATTGCTGGCTAGAGTTATATAACTTAAATGTACTGAACTTTTGTATGCATCTGCTGAAGATTTTTTTTATTTTTTCCTCTCCTCTTTCCTCAGTTATCGCTTCATGGATATGTTCCCTGATGCTAATCTGGTAAGGCAAATACAGAAAGAACTGGACTCCATTATCCGAATGGGAGTATACAACATCACTAGGCTAATCCGTGCCTCAGAATCTAGTGGCCCTGTTTCTGTTGGTGAAACTGCCACACATGACAATGCCAAAGATGACATGCTTCCGAACCAGCTGCACAGACGACCTAGGAAATCCAAATTAGCCCAACCTCCACCCAGCAAAATAGAGGGTTCTCTTGCATCTCGATTAATTGACCAAGGCCTTCTTACCCCAGATATGTTGCATCAGTTGGAAAAAGAGTGGTCAAAACGCCAGGATGGACACCAGATCAATGCAACAAAAACTAAATCTTTTAAAGGAAAAAAGTAGGGTGGACTCAAAAGTGACATTTTAAATGGACAAAATAAATAATAAAAAAAAAATGCAAAAAAACAATTTACAATTTTCAAACCTTTTGTTTTCATGGTTCTATTATTTTCTTTTTACTTTTAATTTATGGTCTTATAGGTGAATTACTATAACATACTCAAATCAGCTAATATTGGTCAAATCCATTCAGAGAATATTTGTGTAAATATTTGTCACATTGCATTTCTTTGTCCTAAATGAGGTCACGTCTATTGGCATAGGGAGCATTGAGAACCAAAATTACAAATATTCCCCCCCCACATCTTGCTCGAAGAATGAAGGGAAGGTACAGGTTGTTACACAGCCAGACTTTTCAGTACATTAACTCTTCAGTAACTGCACAGCGGGTTGCGGAGGATTTTTACAATCTACTATTTATACATTTTTGGACCTAAACCCACTGCAGAAGAAATTGAAAGTGCACTTAGTGAAAAATAACATTACAAGGGATAAAGTACAAACAAAAAACCTTTTATATAGAGAATATAGACATTTGATATAAAAAAAAGTTTGTGTACATATTATATATATTTTTTTTACGGTATCTCATTCCAGAGTGGAATTGTGAGAAGATATATATATGAAACGTTTAACCTTTTAAGTGATTATAATTCAGAATGTGACCTATTTTAATTTATAATAAATGGTAAGAGGAAGGGGGGGGAAGAAGTAAATGCTTTTACCTCCTTTACAGTGTGGGCAGGAACACTTGCAAGTACCCATTATTGCCTCCTCCTCCCAATATGTATATCTATGCCAGAGATAAAATAGGTTTAAATCAAATTCAAACTATACAATTACTAGCAATTAGGCTAGTATTAGATATGGTATACGTTACATTTTATTCTCTGTATGTAGCTCTTCGTGGCTTTGCACACATGAGCGAATGCATTTACTAAACATTTCCACAATAAAAACATTTCAGTAACTGCATTGTGTACTCAGGATGGGGTATTCACATACAAGACTTATCCAAGAACATGTGCCATGTGAAATCTTGCTGTACGATTCTTTGAATATTTGAAAGTTTCATTTCAGTGCAGCAAATTCCATGGCAGCTGATTCCATTATTTTATTACACCATTCCATAGAACATAGCATAGCTACAAATGTTCACATGTTGGCAGATATCCCATCATTTATAAACTTAAACCAATTATTCAACATTGGTGCTAGGATTTTATTTTTGTTAATTTCACCAGGGAAATGCAATAAAATGAAAGACTTTTTTTTTTAAAAAATTGTAGATTATGCGAACGTAGTGTACCTATAATCTTAATTTTAATAATGACAGGAGGCGAATATTTTGCATAACTTTCTTTACTTTATGCCTCCAGCAGCACAAGTCAGTCAATCAAACTTTAAACCAATCAGTAACAGGCATCACATCCATATATAAAGCCCTGACAGACACATGACTTCCTCTTTCTTTGATGCGAAAAACAGTCTATTATAACGTCAAGGAATTCAAATAACAGTCCTGAGTAACGTGTAGCACATAACTTGAAACTAAACTTAAAACCTTCCAGCTTTATCTTGTCAAATCCATCTATGATGATTACGCTGAAAAGAACAGAAATACATGAAAGGTGATGGAAACCAACTGTTGTCCACATTAAATCCAGTCCTATATGTATCTATATTTATATTACGTTAATATACTGAAACATTAAACAACCATAGTATACTTAATCAACACGGATCTAACATGTCAACCAGATCAGCATCCGATAAATATACTGAAATACCAAAACCTTATAATTACACTGAGAAAATGAAAAACCAGAGTATTAAAATTTTCCAGAGTATAGGGAGGGAAAATATTCGCCTCTTGTCATTATTAAAATTAAGATTATAGGTACACTATGTTAGCATAATCTACAATTTTATCACATGACAGGAGGCTTCATATTTTGCATTTTTAAAGCTGTGGTATGAGCGAGAAGGATGCGTGTGGTTGACGAAAATAAATATACGGAAGTAGTCTATCCGTGTCCACTTCGTCGCTGTAAAATATAGAGGCTCCCCCCCCCCCGTGAAGGCCTGAGAAGCAGCCGAACCTCGTAGCGAATGAGTACCCAAAACATGTCTCCACCCCCGCTAGCAATAACCAATGAACCCATCTAGACAGAGTGTTCATGGTAACTGGTTTGTATGGTTGGTATAAGACCAGCAGATGTCCTGAATGTGACAATCTAAGTGGTGTCGTGATCTCCATGTAACAAAGTACCGCTTTAACTGCACAAAGACTGGGAAACCGCCGGGAACAGGGTAAGATACGGACGTGGATAAGATTTAGTTCTACCAGACACCGTAGAAATAATTCCTTCCGGTGATACCGAAAAGACCGTCCACATCAACCTCCAGAACATCTGATACCCGACGAAAAGACCTATAAGTAACGTGACTATGGCTGACGGCGGGAGAGGTCTGTGTTATCTGACTAGTTCCAAAAGAACCAAATTAAAGTCCCACAACAGTGATACTTTGATGCATGGTTCTGGACAGTTTGATACCCCGCAGAAAGCGGCATATCAAAGGCTCCTGATTGACCGGAGTGTTATGAATCGTACTATGCGTCGTCGTGGTCGAAATCGCGGAACGTATCCCGTTAATGGAACGGTCCGATCGGCCCGTAGTGAAAAGGTATGATAAGGATTCAGCATCGAGGAGACGGTGGTAATAAAGGGATCGCAGTCCCTTCCCATACATCAGCAAACTCCAGGTGTTCTGTAACGGATCACCTGGCACCCCGACTGGGTACCTCTGTTGAAGGATGCTCCTAGCGCTTCCTGAGGATTCCAAGCACTGCAGCAGACACCACAACCACCGAACTGGAGAAGCATACGAATGCTCTCAAGCATATGAATGCTGTAAGCAGCTGAACAGGAAAAACATACAATCAGCTTACACTCCTGGCAATCAGCATACAATCCAATTCCCCCAATAACGAGACGACACTTCGTTTTGAGGTCATGCAGAACTGACTGTACTGGCACATACAGCCTCTTTTATTCACAATCCACAAACATAGTACTGCCCACAGGGTTTTGAAATACAACCAATCAAACCATACAATACACACAGACACTTCCACACAAAATCCTCTCCTCTGCCTGTGATATGATTACTGAACACAATGGTTAATATAATTATCACAGGCAGAGAAATACAGTATTATAAAACATATCACAGGGAGCCCAAAACATGCAATAACCCCATAAAAGTATATCCTTGGAACCGGGGGATCTGGGTGAACCACATATCCAAAATTCACCCAGATCCGTTCAGTAGTTTAGAAGATACAGTTTAATGCAGATTCTGCAGAAAATATACAAGCTATATGAATAATAATTTCTGTATAATGTATCCCCTGTAAAACTACTGCACAAGGTCTTTGTGCACCAAATACCGGCGAGATGGCACCGTGTAGAAAAGTCCAAACAGTGTCTGTGAGTTAAAATGGCCGCCATCCATTGTTCTCACCATGTGCCTCTGATACATGAAATGGTGGCCACCCAGTAACTCCACAGTATGTCCCCAGATGGTTCTTAAAGGGCCAGCAGCAGCACAATACAAATCCATTATGCCCAAATCATGTCTTTAAAGGGCAATACGTCCCAGGAACATGCTGGGGAGAGGGACCAACTGTCTCATCTCCTAAGGACACACTCTGCCGCTGGGGAGGAAGGACAACACCTTCAGCTCCCTGTGACACACACTGGCGCTGGGGAGGAAGGACAGCACCTTTGGCTCCCTGGGATTCACGCTGTCGCTGGAGATCTGGGTTGGCCTCAGTCCCATCTCTACCTGCCATCTGGAGGTCATCCCAGGACCAGTCAATGAGGTCTGGTTCTGCTTGTCGGGTAGGTTGGGGCTGCACGAAGCTGAGCAGGTGTTGGTAGTCCTGCTCCAGCTCCCACTCCCTTGTTACCAGGTGGGTCATGTCTTTGCTCACCTCGCATTCATCAGCCCAGACATACATGCCCATCCGGTAGTCGTAGATGTCTCAAAACCTAGACCCCTCCGTGCTGCCAAGATCAATGTCGTCCTCCAAGGCATCCCATAATAAACCCGGGCCATCATAATCATCCCCCTCCGGTAAGTAGTGCTCGGCCGTCCAGGGGGTAAGTCGAACGGTATGCCACCAGAGGGCCTGGTATGCGTTGTATAGCCAGATATCTCGCCATACCAGGGTCTCTAGTCTTGTCACCCACTCATCCAGGGGTTGCTCTCCCGATAGATACATCCACACCGCCACACGCTTCTGTAGCCGCTGCTCATCACTGGGGAGACTTTCACCTCGCCGCCACTGGGCATCACACCAGAGTTCCTTTCTGTCTGCATCCCTGTAGTCCGCGGCCGCCTCCTCCTCCTCATCATGGAACGCTGTCCGAAAACTAGCCGATTCCATCCTGCTGTAGCCAGAGGCACTGTATGTTGCCCTCAATTTGTAACTCCAAACGTTACCAGTGTCTCCGAGCTGCTTCTCCTTGCACGAGGACGCCATCCCACTGCTGCCACCAATATAACTCCACAGTATGTCCCCAGATGGTTCTTTAAAGGGCCAGCAGCAGCACAACACAAATCCAATATGCCCAAATCATGTCTTTAAAGGGCAATACATCCCAGGGACCATAGTCACACGGCAGGAGGCTGGCAATCAGTCTTCTACAATGCCCAGTGGCGAGGTCGGTTTCGCCACATGTTCCATGCGGATAAGTTATTTCGGGGAATACCTTAAGTATTGAGTCCCATAATAGGTCTCTATTTGGTTGCGATAGTCCCTTGACATACCAGTCTCCCCTGAAAGACACCAATCCACCAACTCCAGACGCTCCTGCATTATCAATGGATGATGTTCTCCTTTTGGATCTGCCTGAAGGCAAGTTAAAACTGAATGAGCAGAGGATGATCCTGATTAAGGACAACCATTCTGGGTGCGACGCTTGACTCCTTTACCACGGTAATGAGTATCGAAGTCTTCGCTATTCTGATCCCAGTTTCATAGGTGTGTCTGGATCTCAGGCTCTACACCTTTACATGGACCCCGGCCTGATCGGGACATAAATATCACCGCAGTGATACCAAGCTCCAAGGTGAGGACTATCTTGTTCGGTCATAGAGGGCATGGGCATTCCACCCTGAGCTTGTCTCGGACTTCTTTTCCCATAGGCCTCCTGAGCCAGAAGTGGGCAAAGTGTGCCCGGTGCTCCGGTAAACCCCATTTGGATGACCCTGGGTGTCGGATGGTGTGTGAGTCAAAACAAGAGTGTCCAGTGTGCCAAAGAAAAACCTTTCTTGCTAGGCGGGTCTTGTCACTTTACCTCTTCAGATGGAGACTCTTCTGCTCTCCATTCTTTCATGATCTCCAGAGAAGGGGGAGGGATGAAGTCCTCGTCCCCTGAGATGATTAATGGACAGGACGTTCTGAGAGACGGCTCCGCTAAGTCGGGGTGTTCCCTTTCCCCTTTGGAGAAGCCACGTTGGAGCCCTTCCAATGGTGTTTAGATGATAAGGTGTCCGACCTAACGTCGGTATCTCTAGCTTCCATTGGTGTTGGTGCCGTTGCACCCGCTCTGTCGGATGGGTTGTTAGCCAGCATATTGGAGAGGACTTCTTCCCCCGAAGCTGCCATGGCGGCCTTAATCCTTGCCTGAAAATCGGTCGGGGATATTGAGGGAAGTCCGACATGTTTGTTCACACCCTTTCGGTCTGTGGGAGACAGGATCGTACAACAGTACACTTATTGCCACACAGTGGGCCTCCGCGTACAACTGGGGTCACCCAGAATTTCGATCAATCAGTACCACTTTCGCAGGATCCGGGGAGTGGTCTGAGAATGAGGACACCCTCAGTAAGACCGGGATGAGCGGTCTGCAATGTCGGGACGTAGCCCGAGTATGGGAGACGTGAAAGCCTCAATATGTATAATCCAAGGGGTTGATCCTTATATGGCCTAGAATTGTGGAGTTTGGCAGCACTGAGTTCTCCTTCGGTTAAGGGAAGGGCGTACGGATCCCCCAGTTGAAGCACAGAGGTGTCGGAATACATGCATCTAGTGCGCCCTGGTCTGTGCATACAATGACAGAGCGTATTCTGAAGGTAGAAGCCCTAGAAAGGGCGCGGGGGGTCACCCCGTCTGGTAGGGGGGGGTCACCCCTTTGTACCTATGCTGCTAGCACCGGAGTAAGACTCGCTTGGGGGTCACCCAGCGTAGGGGGGTCACCCTTGTATGTATGTCGCTTATGGCATGTTGGGACACTCTTTTGGTCTGTGGGGTACCGAACAGGTGTCAGGTACGGTAGTACACTTATTGCCACTTAGTGGGCCTCCATGTACGACTGGGGGTCACCCAGAATTGTTTCACTCAGTACCACTTAGAGATTTCCTGGGAGTGGTCCGAGGAAGGGGTCACCCTCAATAAGACCGGGATGAGCGGTCAGTAATGTCGGGATGTAACCCGTGTATGGGGAGGTATGGTAGCCTCCAAATTATCCAAGGGGTCACCCTTATGGGATATAGTACTGTGGAGAATTGGCAGCACCGTGAGCTCTCCTACTGGCTCTGTCGATATACATGTATCCAGTGTGTCCCGGTCTGTGCAGACAGTAACAGATCGTACTCCATAGATATGAGCCCGTCCTAGGGCGTGGGGGTTCCCCCCAGTATATGTATGTCACTAGTACCGGAATAAGATTCGCTTGGGGTTCACCCAGCGTAGGGTGTTCACCCCAGTATATTTATGTCACTAGGACAAGAACCAGATTCGCTTGGGGGTCACCCAGCATAAGGGGGGGGGGATCACCCCTGTACCACAATTTCACTTTGGAGAGGTGTCTGCCACGCTTGGGGGTCACCCAGAGTAAGGGGGGGTCACCCCTGTTAATCTCTCCGTTATGTGCCTCCACTATTGTGTCCTGGGAGGTGTATCCCTGTTGGAAAGGAGTGTATCCAGTAGTTGTGAGGTCCAGTGGGAGTAGGGAGCTGAGTAAGTTATCAGCTCTATTTAATTTCCCTGCCAGCAGATAGAGTAATGCATCCACTATATGCCCACAGCAGGGAACAGTCCATTCATAATCCTCCAGACGTACAATAAAACTGTTATTCAACATGACAATTGTATAGAACAGAATACAGCAAACTGTCAGCAGACATTAGTACTGCATCCACTATATGCACACAGCAGGGAACAGTCCTACATATTCATGCAGAGTTACATATAAAACCTTTATTCCACATGCCCATGATATGTATTAGTATTGAGCTCAAAAGTACATGTAAAACTTTTATTTCACAGGAAAATATCTTAAACAGTACGGATCTAGCTGCCAGTTCGTGGGAATCACGAACTGGTTAAACGACATGGCCGACGTGAATCTCGCGAGTGCCGCGAGATTCAAGATGTCCGCTGTTCGCGCACAAAAGTGCCGTGTGGCCCGTGATCGAGGATACGATTGCGGCCCGCCGGTATGGAACAGAGTCCCCCCGACACCCCCAACCCCCAGAGACCTGCCCTGAATTCCCAGCACCAGTGAATAAAAAAGCATGCTCGCGGTAAAATGCCGCGATCGCGGTAAAACGCTGCGATCCGTGCGAGACCAGAGTAAAGCATAGGAAAGAAAAGGTACCAGCAACAGAAAACCAAACAGGCTAATAAAGCAGAAAAAACAGGGTTAATTCGGGGGAAGGGTAACAGGGGGAGAATATCACACTATACAAGTCCAAATGGAAGGCAAGTGCAAAATAATGAAAAACGTTTAGGCCAAAATTGCAGGACAAGCTAATAAAGTTTAACTAAAGTGGCCATGCATATCCAGAAACGGTTTGGAGCAAAACTGAATGTCTAGCATTAAAAATCTAACTAAAGTGACCATAGCAATATTAATAAAAACAGTTGGAGCAAACTGAAAGTCAATTAATAAAGTTTAATTAAAGTGACCATTGCAATATCCAGAAAACCAGTTTGGATTAAAACTGAATGTCTAGCATAAGGTGTCTAACTACAGTGACCATAGCAATATTAATAAAAACAGTTTGGAGCAAAACTGAATGTTAAGCAATAAATGATTAACTAATGACAATTTGCAATATCAGTACAACAGTTTGGAGCAAAATACTCTGACCTGTGCCTTGGCTGGTAAGCAGCAAAGAAAGAGGAAGTCATGTTTCTGTCAAGGTTTTATATATGGATGTGATGCCTGTTACTGATTGGTTTAAAGTTTATTGATTGACTTGTGCTGCTGGAGGCATAAAGTAAAGAAAGTTATGCAAAATATGAAGCCTCCTGTCATGTGATAAAATTAAATGTTTCTGAAATGCTAATAAAGACACTGTGCTGAAATTCACTCGCAGTCAAGATACCATAAGGCAAATTGGGGACTACTCTGTCTTATGGCAAAATCCTACCTTGCAAGAGAATATGTGGAGCTACTGCCATTAAGTTGGTCAGCTGTCACTTGTAACAACTGTGGAAATAAGGCATTATCTCATCCAGAGATAACATCCATGGAAGCTCTTGGGGAATCCTCCATAGACATTAGTATTGTACTTTCGAAGGCTTCTGGTGGATGAAGCAAGTAGTGCTGAAGAAAGCAGATAGGGACATCGCTATGAGGTGTGCAGCTATGGTAAGTGATCCTTACCTGTCCCCTATCAGGTGTCTTTAAAAATATGAAAAGAACCGAAAAAGTGACCGATCTATTTAAAACCATTTCCTGAACACAAAAGTCTGACGTGTACCTTAGTTGCCAGCATGATGGCGTCTGAACGCAGTGACGCCACTCCGTTACTAAGCTCCCTAATCAGCACTACAAGTGCTGGCTAGGGAGTTACCATGGCAACCACCATGTATGTGTTTTGCTTGCTGTGGGTGAAGAGCAGTGAGCTCTTTTCTGCTCTGCATGTCTTTCAATGCCTTGGCATTGAGTGTCTACTAAGGAACTGAGAGAAAGAAGGGAGAAAAATCTATTTTTAAACAAAACTGCTAGCACAATGTATAGATGGAATTTCAAGCTTTTTTTTAAAATAACTTTTTTTTTTTTTATGACTAGTTTTGCCAGTTTTCCCTTTAAAGTTAAAGTAATAGGGGAAGGGACACTTCCATGACTAGTGAATGTTGGCTTCATACGGGGACATTCTAAAGTCCTCCCAGCAACATGGGGGGCTCTAAAATTCAACCAAAGAGACTCTAAACAGTACCCCGCATCTCCCACCCATAGTTGGCAAATGGGGGCTGTGGCTATATGTACTGCGGGCACATCCCCTTTTCCCACCCATTTGCAGATATTTGAAGCTGCTGGTGCCTCTGGAGTCCCACAGACATTGAGGTGTAGAGTCAGGGACGTATTAGCTGCGAGGCAAACAAGGCATTTGCCTTGGGCGGCATTTTCCAGGGGGCTAACAAACAATCTGGTCGGGCGCGCGGTGCTGGCAAGGGAGCACTTTCCCTGAGCTCTCTGCTCAGCTCCCTCGCGCGCCACAGAGTGATGCCGGGAGCTGGAATATGACGTCATATTCCGGCTCCCGGCACCACTCTGCGGCGCACGAGGGAGCTGAGCAGAGAGCTCAGGGGAAAGTGCTCCCTTGCCAGTGCCGCCCGCCCAGCAGCCTCACTGAACCCCAGAGAAAGGGAGAACCCCCCCAGCATTCCCAAAGGTAAGGAAGCTGGGAAGGGGGGGGGTTGAATTTAAAAAAAAAAAAAAGTGAGTGTGTTAATGTGAGTAAGTGAGTGAGTGTGTGTGTCTGTTAATGTGTGTGTGTCAGTGAGTGTGTGTGTGTCTGTTAGTGTGTGTGTCAGTGAGTGTGTGTCTGTTTGTGTGTGTCTGTTAGTGAGTGTGTATTTGTCTGTTAATGTGTGTGTCTGTTAGTGAGTGAGTGTGTGTGTCTGTTAGTGTGTGTGTGTGTGTGTTAGTGAGTGTGTCTGTTAGTGAGTGTGTGTATGTCAGGGAGTGTGTCTGTTAGGGAGTGTGTTACTATGCGTGTGTCTGTTAGTGAGAGTGTATGCGTGTCTGTTAGTGAATGTGTGTGTCTGCTAGGGACTGTATGTGTCTGTTAGTGAGTGTGTATGTCTTTTAGCTAGTGTATGCGTGTCGGTCAGTGAATGTGTGTGTGTGTGTGTGTGTGTATTTAGATGGTGGGGCAGGGGGGGAAGGGTGGGGTGGTGCATGGGGGTGGGCTAAGTTTTGTCATGCCTAGGGCAGCACAAAACCAGGATACACCACTGTGTAGAGTCCTCCAGAGTCTTGCAACTGTGCATAAACCTTCTATTCGGCCACCACTAACCAATGCTCACAAGAAGAAACGGCTGCATTGGGCAGCAAAATACATGAAGACTAATTTTCAAACAGTCTTGTTCACTGATGAGTGCCGTGCAACCCTGGATGGTCCAGATGGATGGAGTAGTGGATTGTTGGTGGATGGCCACCCTGTTCCAACAAGGCTGCGACATCAGCAAGGCGGTGGTGGAGTCATGTTTTGGGCCGGAATCATGGGAAGAGAGCTGGTCGGCCCCTTTAGGGTCCCCGAAGGTGTAAAGATGACCTCTGCAAAGTATGTGGCGTTTCTGACTGGCCACTTTCTTCCCTTTTACAGAAGGAAGAACTATACTTTCCATAATAAAAAAAAGGGCCAACAAAGGAGTCAGGGGGGCAAATTCCCCCCAAGCAGATTTGAACTGCAGCCTTATATAATTCTTCTGAATGTTAAAATAGCTAAGGTGTGTTGGAATTTCCATTACCACAGTACTCAAGGAGTGAGGCAGAAGGAAGAAATTGGAGAAGGCCTTTACTGGCATGGCACTGTGTGGGTTTGCACATTTACTGGTGTGTCCTCGATGTTTTCAATGGCTGGACCGATCCACTAGGTTATTTCTCAGTTGGGTGCAGTATCTGGGTTGTCTAGGTTACTACTAGTATGAGTATATACTATGTCACACCTAGCAAGTCCTATAGGCTCCATCTGTTAAATCCATTCATTGTAAGCTCCATATGAGTAAGACCATACATTCTGAGAAACTATGTATTGATGAATTTGTACTAGTCCACTCCAGGCCAAACATTGACAGTCCTCCCATGGCTAGACGTTGCAACACAATTGTGTGAAAAAAGTTGAAATACCTTGTGTGAAATATCATGGGATGTCCGTTTATAATTATAAATATATATAAAATATGCCAATCATATTGCCAGCTCCATTTAGGGCTGTTACAGTACTCTCTGCTTAGCCCAGTGCCCTCAACACAGTCTAATGATGCATTCCTACACTTGGTGACAGTTCCCAATAGGGAACAAATTCAGGATGGTAGGACATGCACAAAATCATTAATTACTAGGGATGTGCATGGGCAAAATATTTGGTACGGTTCGGCATTCTGAAATTCGGGACTTCAGCACTTCGGTTTGGCACTTCCAAAATTCGGGTAAGTGTAGGGTTAGGAATAGGGTTAGGGTTGGCAAAACGGGTTCTGAAAAGTGGCAAAACGGGAAAAGGTAGGATTGGAGTAGGGTTAGGGGTAGGGTTGGGTTAGGAGTAGGGTGCTGGTACCGAAGCGGGACGGAACCACCCACTTCTGCGTCGACTACCAGAAACTTAATGATAAAACAATTTCAGATGCCTATCCCATGCCCCGAATCGATGAGCTCTTAGATAAAATGGCCAGGGGCCAGTACCTCACCACAATAGACTTGTGCAAAGGGTACTGGCAGATCCCACTAGCCGAGGATGCCATCCCAAAGTCCGCATTCGTCACCCCATTCAAGGTGATGCCATTTGGGATGAAGAATGCGCCGGCTACGTTTCAGCGGATGGTGGACCGGTTACTGGACGGATCCCAGGAGTATGTTTGCGCCTATTTAGATCACATAGCAATATTTAGCAACTCCTGGGACGAGCACTTGACCCATATAGGAGCCATCCTCGACCGCATCAGGGAGGCAGGTCTCACGTTAAAACCCAGCAAGTGCCACGTAGGGATGGCCGAAGTGCAGTACTTAGGCCACAGGGTGGGCAGTGGGCAGCAAAAGCCAGAACCCGCTAAGATAGAGACCGTAGCTAAGTGGCCAACCCCTCGCACGAAAACTCAGGTTTTAGCTTTTCTAGCCACCGCCGGGTATTATCGTAAATTTGTACCTAATTATAGTGCCCTAGCCAAGCCCCTTACTGACCTCACCAAAAAGAACTTACCCAAAGTAGTGACCTGGAGCCCAGAGTGTGAGAAGGCATTCCAAGAACTGAAAACTGCCCTAATTCATGCCCCTGTACTGGCCGCTCCCGATCCAACTAAACGCTTTCTCGTTCATACAGACGCTTCTATGTTTGGATTGGGAGCAGTGCTGAGCCAAGTTGGGGCCGATGGCGGCGAGCATCCAGTCGCTTACTTAAGTCGGAAACTACGACCCAGGGAAGTAAGCTATGCCGCCATCGAAAAGGAATGCCTGGCGGTGGTGTGGGCCCTCAAGAAACTACAGCCCTACTTATATGGACAACAATTTGCCTTGCTCACAGCCCGTTGGTGTGGCTAAACCGGGTGTCAGGGGACAACGCTAGACTACTGAGATGGAGCTTGGCACTACAACCAGTGGTGTATCCTGGTTTTGTGCTGCCCTAGGCAGGACAAAACTCAGGCGCCCCCCTCCCCCCGCGCCACCCCCATCCAACCCTTCCCCCCCCGCCCCACCTTCTAAATACACACACACACAGTCAGACACAAACACACACACACAGTCAGACACAAACACACACACTCACAAACACACACACACACAGTCGGACACAAACACACACAGTCAGACACAAACACACACAGTCAGACACAAACACACACACACAGTCAGACACAAACACACACACTCACAAACACACACAGTCAGACACACACACACAGAGTCAGACACACACACACAGAGTCAGACACACACACACAGTCAGACACACGCACACAGTCAGACACACGCACACAGTCAGACACACGCACACAGTCAGACACACGCACACAGTCACACGCACACAGTCAGACACAAACACACAAACACAAACAAACAGACACAAACACAGTCAGACACAAACACACACACACACACACACACACACACACAAACACAGTCAGACACAAACACTCACAAACACACACATTCCAGACAAACACACACACACACAGTCAGACACACACACACAC